CGTGTATTTAAGTTTGAACAAATCAATATAATAATCACTATTCTTAATAAAAGTCGTATGTTTAATTCTATAAAATAATATAAACTTTTATAGAATCAGTACTCAAATAAAATTGAATAAATTAAAAGATATGTGACATAATAATAAGCAACTGTGTAATTATTTATAACTATTAATTACTATGTATTGAATAATTTATAATTAAAAATAAATATTGATAAAAAAAATTTTTTTCAGATCAGATAGTCAAACAAAATGATGAAGATTTATAAAAAACTTGCTATCATTTCTTTAATAGGTTCAGTATTGACAATTATTGGATTAATTACAGGAATTCTTTGGTCTACAATTTATTCTTTAATTATACATACGGTAAATATAAGAATAATTTGTTATAATTTTAATTAATATTTATGTCTTATATATTATTTTATAGCAATTATCTTTAACACCTACATCTACAAGTTACAAACTTTGGGAAGTAACACCTATTCCTATGTATCTGAAATTATATATGTTTAATTTAACAAATTATAAAGATTTTATTTCAATTAATGGATCAAAACCAAATTTTGTGGAAATGGGTCCTTATGTATTTAGGTATCAAATTTATTTTATTATATTCAAATTAAATATAATAGAATATTTTATTAATATAATAAATTAAATGGTAAATGATATTTTATTATAATAGAGAAGTTGATTATAAAGTAGAACAAAAATGGCATGAAAATGATACTATAACTTATCAAAGAAAAAGAGTATGGTATTTTCAAGAATCTTTATCAGCAGGAAGTTTACAAGATAATGTAACTAATATAAATCCTATAACTGCTGTATGTATCTTTTAATATTATTATATATTGATATATTATATATTATTCCGATTTATTATAATTTTTTTTCTTTTAATAATATTTTCAGAGTGTTGCATATGCATTAAGATATCAAAAACCTCTTTTTCGTAATATAGTAGATAAAATAATGAAAGCAATAGATCAAAAATTAATAGTTACCAAAACTGTTAATGAATTACTTTTTGAAGGTTATGATGATCCTATGTTGAAAATTGCTCGAAAAATGAATTTTACTAAAATTCCTTTTTCTAAATTTGCTTGGTTTTATGGGGTAAATATTATATTAATGTTATTAAAGCTATTATAAAATAATTGAAATTTTTTGATTTACAGAGAAATGGTTCTGCAAGTTATGATGGAACATTTAACATGCTAACTGGTAAATCTAATTTACTTAATGTAGGAATAGTCAAAGAATGGAATTTTAATACTAGAGTAAATTATTATCCCGGAGAATGTGGAATAGTTAAAGGTACAAATGGTGATTTATGGCCACCATTACCTGATAATAAAACTATTTCTTTCTTTGTACCTGATATTTGCACGTAAGATTAATTTTTTGGAAAAAGTACGGAAAATTAAATAAATATAATATAACAATAATTTTTATCAATATATTAATAGGAGTATGTCAATAACATATGATAATACAACTATTCATGAAGGATTAAGAGGCGCTAGATATATTAGCGATGATACAATATTTGATGATGGTACAAAAGTATCATCACGTAAATGTTATTGTGTAGGAGAGTGCATTCCCTCTGGAGCATTAAATATTTCATTATGCAAATGGGGTGCTCCAGCATTCATCAGTTTACCACATTTTTATTTAGCAGATCGAAGTTATAGAGAAAATATCAAGGGAATGGAACCTAATAAAGAAAAACATGAGCTTTCAATATCCATAGAACCGGTAATTATTGTATGAAATTATAATTGATGATCAATAATTATTATAAAAAATTTGTTATAGAAAACGGGTGTTCCACTAAACGTAAATGCAGCATTACAATTAAATTTATTGGTACAAAATGATGCTCATATGAGGTAAGTCTTTGTTTCATTTTTTTTATAAATAAATAAAAGAAAATACATTTTTCTTAATAAATAAATGTTAACATTAAAATGAAACTTAAACAAATACAATATCATTTTCAGCATGTTTAAAAATGTTAAAAAAACATTTGTACCAATGTTATGGTTTACTCAAGAAGCTTATTTAACTGCTAATTACGCTCGTATTATAAAATTTATTATTATTCTGGAATCTTTAGGTAGCATAACTTGTTATGGTATTGCCTGTATTGGCATTTTATTTATATCTATCGGCATTTTCTTATATATTAGACATAATTTTAGAGGAGAAGAAAATCAAGTTTTATTGTCAAAAAGATTTATTAACAATGATGATATTACTAGTATTAATGGATGATTAGTATATGAATATTAGATTATATAAAAAGATATTGTAATCAATGTGACCAAAAGATAAAAAACGGTCTTCGAAATTCAAGAGTTTTTAAACTTCATTGAAACTGATATAATATAAGATAATATCAAAATATTTGTGAAAAGATTATATTAATAGAAATTTAATGCATTGTTTATAAACATGCTTTTAAATTGTACGATAATCAAGTGCCTCATTGCTTTAGTAAAAATGGATATTAGAATTAGCATAAAAATAGATATTTGAGAGTGATATGCACATAGCAATTTAAGATTAATATAAATTTACTTTCCTAAACAAAGAATAGAAATATAAATTTTTGTCTTTATCTCTCCTATTTTTCTAGTGATTCAAAATATATATTATATTAGATATATACATATTTTTATCTATATAAAATATAAAAAAATAATAAATACAGAATCATATTTATCAAGTTTAATTCATGTTAATATTTATTATGTAGTTGAAGTTATAGCAATTACAATGCTGTTACAGCTGTGATAATTAAATTTTTCTTTCATTAATAAAAATTCGTAGAAAATAAAAGATATTAATTTTATACAAATTATTGATATTAAATTGTTTTCTTTATAATTCCTGATCTTTATTATTCCAATTTTTTTAAAAACTATTCGTACATCTTGTTGACATTATTACTATATTTTTTTATCATAAAATATAAATTTTATTATGTCATGCTTCTTTTTTACAAAAAATATAAAAGAGTTTATTACAATTTACACTAGTAACATCATTGACATTATCTAAACAATTTTTTTTTTTACATTTATTTTGTATCTTACACAATAAATTCAATCGATTAAGCTTAAAAAATATATTTTAATATATGTGAATCTATAAATGCTGGTCGATTAATCATTAAGTAATTTCATTAATCACAAAATAAATTTTGCAATTATTTAAAATCGTTTTTTCTCTATTGAATTTTTTTTTTCAATTTCATATAATATATTATTCTTTTAAAAAATAACGATATAAATGTACGTATTGAAAACAGAAAACAAAGAAAATGGTATAAAACAAATTGAAAAAAAATTCAACACAATAAAGTAGTTTCAACTTTTCACGTATTTATACCAAATGAATATACATTAAATACCGATAATTTTATTTTTATCTGATTTATCATGACGCATATAGTTTTTATACATATCATAACTATCTACGTAAAACGATTTAAACATCGTATATTTTAACATCGTATATTTAATTAATATTATAATTCCTCTAGAATGAAGAAGTAACGATCGATCATTTATATTTATTTTGTCTTTAGATGTATAATTACAAGAACAATAAGGTATTATTTTCCAGCAAATAAGTTAATTAAATTTATGTATCTTCGGTGAAAATAAGTATTTATCGATGTATCTTTTATTAAAATGTGTTTGTCATTTTATTTGTTTTAAAATTCAAGGAAGAGAGAGAAGAAAAATATCCTTAAAATATCGTAAGATTGAAAGCTAAAATAAAACGTAAATCTTTGTTAAATTTTGTCATTTATATTTTACGCGAAATAAATCGTAAATAAATATTGTAAAAATGAACGATAACTTTTTTGAACTTTTAAAGTTATCTAAAAAGATAAATATATATAAATATAGAATATATATATATGTATATCTCTTCAGAAAAAAAAGAATGTATTCACATAGCAAAATATTTTTACTCTTATCATTAACAAGATAAATACGTCAAAAAAATAAAAAGAGGTTGACTGAAAAAGATTTAATCTGATACAGAAATGATAAATGAGCGATGTAATCGAGCAAACTAACAAGGAACTATATGCACGTAGAGGAAATCCTTAAATATCATGCGGAAACACAGACTGTAATCAATGCGGTCGGTGAAAGGAATTCCTTATTGGAATTTAATCTTTTTCTTTTTTCTAATATCTTTTCTTTCCGAGAGATTTCGAAGGGATAGCAAGAATGAACGCCAATTGGCAAGGAAATTTTAATTAGAATTTAGAATTTTCTATTGATCGGAACACACGTGGAATCTTATACGAAATATCGCGTTAACTTTTCCTCTATTCGTGTATCTATATCTTTCGTGAGTAAAGACCATCGAGGATTTATGATTCAACGAAACTGATATCTGTTTCACTGAACTTATGAAATAATTACTCCTATATGAAATAATTAAAATTGAATCTTCTCGAGAGAGAAAAGATCATCATATCATTTCCGATTGATATCGTGATAAACTGCGATCGTAAAATTGAGATAGGAATTTTATTCTTTCAGATAGGATTTATCGATGAAAGTAAACATGTAGTTGCACTTATCTTCAAAGAAAATAAAAAAAAGAAAAAAAATTTAAAGCTATGAAATTGTGTATTTTTTTTTATTTAATGAGAATAAAATATAAATATTTGCCATCCTCTTGACGTAATAGAAAGTATCGAATGGAAAAAGTATCTATTTCATTAAATCACTCTCTTTTTTAATTACTCGTCATCGATGACACGCATTCGATTAATAGCGAATATGTCAAGACAGGGAAAATTCGCCAGGATGTCCATCAAGTTTGGATATCGGAAAACTTTGAGACAAAGCATGCCTTGGTCCCGACACAGTACTGGTGCACCTACGCGCTCGTTAAAACGACGTACATACCTCAGTTTCGCAGAGTCCGTCGTCGCGTTCGCATCCCTTTGCCAAGCTGGGGGGGCCCTTCGTGTCTCGTCACCGTGACACATCACGGAACATCGAGCTCACTTATTCAAACATGCTCGATCGACGAACGCTGTGACACATTTTCCTTTTGCAAAATAGTGTTATCGATGTTAAACATCTAATATGCAATACGAATTTCCGAGGCAATTGTAAAACTCTTACAAATTAGTCGCTCGAATATGCAAAATGTTCACCATTATTTATTTACAAGAATTACAATGATAAATAATAATTCTTTTTTGCACGATAAATCTAATGTGTAAACATAATAAAAGATCACGTAATAATGATGCCGAATAATGTTTCGGGTACAGTGTCGACGAACAAATACGTTCGATGTTAGGTAATAAATAAGTGATCATTGATTTGGATAGAATTTTAAAAAGTGGTTAATAACAAGTTGAATAATAAGATCTATTGAAAAACATTTGGATTTTCACAGAACTTGTAATAAAATAATTTGTGAAACATGGAGGGAAAAGTTTAAGAATATTCTCATCTTGAAAATATTTTCCGCCTCGATTGGAGATTCTTAACGATTCTTATGCATATTACATGCGAACTGATTCCCACAGTTTCATTTGAATAGAAAAGTACATTAACATTATTCAACAACTTTTAATAAGAACGATTAAAAAAACAAAAATATGTAAATTTAAACACTCTTTCAGATTTCTTCTACGGAACAAAGTCGATCAACTTTCCTCGAAAATTTTCCCTCCTGTTTTGTCGCGCTATGTGTATGCACGAAAACGGAAATGATAAACGAGAAAAAAAGGAACGTGTTAAAGTTTTCAAGTAGAACGAATATAATGTTTTTTGGACAATTGTAGTTGACAGATTTACAATATATTTCTGTTTTTGCGCATTGGAACGAACGAAAAAGAGATATTTTGAACTTTAAAATAAAATGTTTATCAATTTCTCCGAAATCCGCGTTAATGTTCGAATCATACTGTGTAAAAAGGGATATAATAACATCGTGTATCAAAATAGAAATAGTTCAATTTGATAGTGGACGATTCATATGATTTTTGTCATTAGCATTATTGTTGGGAAGATGAAGGAATGGTCTTGATCTTTTTGATGAATCGAAATGAATGTAGGTTGTCATTGTCAACCCAGATGAGTTAGAAAAACGCGCAAGATTAATAGGATAATCTGTGAGTGATTTTTTTTTTTGCTATGAACATCGCTCATTGCTCTCGAGAGAAAATCGAAGGTCGTTTTCCAAAAATTTTTTCGCGATAAAAAATTTCGAATCGAACATTCGTTATAAATTGAAAATACGAACGCGAAAATTTAATGAAAGTTTCGAACAAATTAACAGTAATGACGATTAATAAGATCTTTATTTAATCGAATTTGTATCACGATCATCACCATTTTAAATTCCATTTTAAATCCAACGTGATGTTATAACAATCGATTCATATCGATTAAAATTTCAATCAAATTACAATTTCGAGTCGATAAACTTAAGTTTTCCTCTGAGAATTGGATCGATATCATCGATATCTCGTTCCACAAGGGAAACGAATGTCGGAATTTTCAATGGTAGTTTAACGTTCTAAAAGCCACGTTAATTTGCTTGGTAATTAAGAATAAACACGAAACTACGTTTAATATTAATTTTAATCACAAAATACCTTTTACCACTTTCTGACAATTTTATCACAATCTCGTAAAAAATTAATCGAACTTTTTCCCTAGAGCCGGTCAAACGTTAAAATCGAAAGGGGAAAAAAAGGAGGGAAACAAAACTTCCCTTTAAACGAGGTAAAACATGTTGGCGAATTATTTGTTATTTTTCTATTTCTCGAATGAACTCTCGATTTCGATCTTTTTCAAGAAAGAACAAGACAAAAAGAATAATATTCTACAATATTAATTACATATCAGATTTATCGTCAACCAGTCTGTTCGAGAAAAATCAAATAAAAGAAGAAGGAAACAGAAAAGATTTCCATCTAAAAGATAGAATCGGATAAAAGCGAACTCGTGAATCTTTCTATTTGTAAACCATTTGTTACAAAAATTTCATTTGTTAAATCGACAATTGAGGAATTACAACACGCGGCATCGAAAACTTTCTTCGTTTATCAAGCTTATATGATTTGCGACATCGACCGAGAACGAGAAGAAAAAAAATGAACGTTTTTATTCAATAATCTTTCCCAATAATTCCCCTTTTCCACTAAGAATTAAATCATCATTTTAATAGTTCGCGATGCTGGATCGAATAAAAGTCGAAGCATCGACGATTTTCGCCTTATAGGCGATGACGCTGGTGAAAAAAGGAAAGGAAAGGAAAGGAAAAAGGCGAGAAGAATTATCTTTAATGTCATGGAAATTGGCGGGAAATAGGCAAAGTGAATCAATCTGAAGCGATAACTTTTTCACTCGCAAGCTTGTATTTCTCTCTTTTCTTCGATCTCGAACATTAAAAATTTCTCGAGAAAATGTGGAACCTGAGAACGTTCGAAATGAAAATTTAACGCGACAACATAGCGCGTAAAAGGAAATTGTTTACTGAATTGTAAAAAGGAAATTGTTTGCTGAATTTTTCCCAAGAGAGTGACGTGTTATCGATATCGATGTCTATACTCGCGTAAACGACAACATTCTCTCAAACAAAAAAAAAAAAAAAAAAAGAAGGAAGATGCATCCGTTCGAGCCAATAATTATGACGTGGTTGGGATCGATGGTATTCGCGTTAATCGATGCCACTGATTCGGACGATTATCTTTTAGTGGATTACACCGATGAATCTGATTACAATGCCACCAATTGCACCAATATTTACTGCATCTCGAACGAAGAGTACGTGGATCGTATGATGAATTACATATTTCCCAAATTTTGGGATTGGGTGCTGATCGCGTCGCACAGCATCGTCTTCGTCATCGGATTAATTGGAAATGCCCTAGTCTGCATCGCCGTTTACAGGAATCATACGATGAGAACAGTGACGAATTATTTTATCGTCAATTTGGCAGTGGCCGATTTCCTAGTTTTATTACTTTGTCTTCCATTCACCGTGTTATGGGACATCACGGAAACCTGGTTTCTTGGTTTAACCTTGTGCAAAGCTGTACCGTATCTCCAGGTAAGATAATTATGCCTGGACTCGTTCACGATACTTTTTAATTAACCACTCCTCACACATCTCACGCGATTCTATTTAGAAAAATCGTAACCGGAAATCTTTGGAGACCAAGCTGCTTTTATATTCGTTTGAAATTTGCGTTTTTGTGTTCTTTTTTCAAATACGCCATTACAGATTTCGTGCACGTCCATCCGATAGCGTGAACAAAATATCTAAGCATGATATTGTTCGTTACCGGACTCGTAGCATTGGTTGAGCTTTTCTTGTATATTTATTTCAACAGTATATAATCTTCTCGAATTTGGGCCAACGATTCGAGAAGCGGCAAAATGCAAAAGCCCCGGCCGCTTTAATTACAGAATTGAACGCTCCGTCGACGGGATTCGCTCGACGGTATTTTCATTCGACAATTTACGGCATCTAATATTCATTGAGTTTATCCAATGCGTAAATTTTAAGAAACGATCGTCGTCTCGTTTTTTATTCATTTCGATGATTGAATCCGCAACACGTCGAATAGAAACTTTCCTTGGAAAGTTTGGCTTCAACCAACGGCTGAATGATAATAAATTCATAAATCGATCAAGTTATTCTTCGTTTGATATTCAAACTGCTTTTCATATTCTAACATTTTTTTCTTCATATATTGAGAGACGAAAATCGTGGCATCCAAGATAAAGGGCGCTTTAATTTTCAACGAAGATTAAACTTTCCTTTTTAATCATCGGATCATTTGAGCGGTATATTCGTTTTGGCTCGTCAGCGACTTTTAGCTAGTTTCGAATAATAGGACCCGTCCTATGGACACAAATGTCTTTATTCAAATTTTAATTAACTTGATTACAATATCTCTTCGCGTGGCTAATAACGAACGTTCCAGTGAAAAGCCGATATCGTATTCGCTCCGAAATTTTCTAAACTCAACGACATGATTGGAAATCTTGATCGTTAATCAAATTATCGACATCATCTCTATTGAAAATTCTGCAATTAATATTTTGTGGAGCGTGACTAAATATACGTTCTTAAATACCGTTGAAATAATATCAGAAAGTCGAAAGAACTTCGTTTCTTGTTATTCATTTCATTTTCCAATTGCCAATCGCAATTTCAACATTTTCGTTATTTAATTATCTTCTTTAAGATCAATTCGAATATTTTGTCAGTGAAGATGAGCATCGACATTTTTAGTTCTCAGATGGTGCAACAGATGGCTCGATACTCGTAATGATTCTCGCATTCAATATAGAGTGTAATACGTAACATAAGGCAAAAGCGAGATTCGGTTCGTTTAAAAAGGGTGCTCGCTACTTTAATATCGCGTTAGCACGGTCAAGTGCCATGCTAGCGGGGTATGGCAATCAAGACATACCCAGTACGTAATTTTTGTGAATGCGAGGCTGTTAGCTGCCATTTTGCACTGACGCCTCCTCTTGGCTGATGAACGAAAAATAAGTTTATATCTCATTCTATGTATGTTTGTTAAATAATTTTTTTCTATTTTCTTCTAATTTAATTAAATCAATAAAAATATATATATAAATTAGAAAATAATATGGATAAAATATATTATATCATTAGGATGGCATCGTTGTTTATATTACGAACGAAACAAATTTAAACATTGAGCGATATGGTTGGCGTGTGAACATATTATTACGCTACGGTAAACTTCAATTAAGCTTATATTTGATACTGTTACCATAATTGACATGTAAATAAATGACTGGAATAAAAAATATAGAAAACGATAAAATTTATATATAAAAGAAATTAACATTAATGAAAGAAATAAAAATTGTATTTATTTTTATATATTGTAATGCAATTTTTAGAAAGTGAACCATGCAAATATTTTTCTGTTATTTTTTTAACGATGAACGATATCACGGATGAGTTATATTTTTGATACGAAATTTTGATATTACCTATAAAAAGTTGATGCAACCACTCACAAAGGAAATATGCATTTTGATTGATAGATTCGATTGTTACTTCTAAAAATTCAACCAGTTATGCAATCCATTTTGCGAAACCTACAATATATAACACGCCTCGACAAAGTTTCTTTTTCATTTTGTTCGTGAATCATTTTGTGTAAGTATTAACAAAATCTTTTTTTAATGATACAAAATGAGATACAAATAATTTTTTATCGAGAGATATATGGAGTCTGTTAACCGAACGGAATGAACATTGTGAAGCCGTTGGTTGCATTAACCCAACAAAATGAACTTCCTGATCGACATTATTCCGCTCGGTAAAACCGAAATATGATACAGTTGACGATCAATTTTTTCGAATTATCGATTCTTTGCAACGTGAACGAATTAGGAAATAATATTATCAAATATCTAGTTTGCCTTGAAAAAAATTTAATAATTTTTACATCGAGATATTTCCCACGGATAATATATGTACAAACGTTATCTAATTATCATTTTAATTCTTAAAATATTTATCTTTGTATTCAATAATCTTTTATAATAAAATGAAAATAATTTACAGTTAAAAAATTAAACTTGTTAAATGTAAATATAACATACGTCATACGTACATATAACGTCATTTTGATTATTATTCGTTATTGAATTTAATAAAAGTAGAAATGGAAGAAAAAAAAACGAATTAAGTATATTGTTACTATACGACGAGGTGATAAAATATAAAGGTGTACTTTAGGAATCAAGGCATAGGAACCAGCTTTATAGCTTATAATTCGGATATTGTTTCAGACTTCGATGTTCATTGCCTGATAAGAGATACGCGAGAGAATACACGGAATAATTCACTAGTCGTGAGCTAATCGTAATTATCGTTTTTTACAACTACAGTAACGATGAAATCATTTATTAAAACGAAACTAAAGGGGCTGGACAGGACTCCCAATCATTATGGAATTTTGACGCGCCATTAATATTACATTAGTTATTTATAGAAACAGTGGAATCCATATACAAATTTCAATCACAACATTTGCAAACGAAACATTGTTCTAATTAATTGGAGTATGCAGTTTCAATTTTCGGTTTTCTGCGATCGATTCGTACGAGTGGGAGTGCTGGTAATCCTGTATCTAGTTAAAATTCGATCGGCCAGTATCGTGACAGGGCTTCACTTGTATAACTATCTACATGGAAATATGGCTCGTTTGGCTCGTTCATCATACTCGTGTGCATGTGACTGCGCGTATCCATGTGTAAACTTGCATCCCTTGCGCCTGTATCTTCGTTAGGCGTTTATATGCTACACGCACTCATGAGCAAGGTAACTCTCAGCCGTTGAATCGTATTATCTTACAACGTGTTGTTGCACACCACGTTTCCAATATATGATAACTGATCTTTGGGTTCTCAACTCGCTCGGTTTACAGGGGACAATAATCCTCGAAATATTCGAAATAATTGTCCTCTGAATTTTCTGTCGAAGATTCGAATAATTTTATTCGTATTATTCGCAAATGTCAATGACAAATGTTGCTTCGCTGAAAGTGTAAATCCGCGTGAAAATTCATCAACGAAAGAGGTAGCGTTATTTTCACGAAAATTTAACGCAAAAAAGATATCGCGAGAAAATATGAAATTTCGTTAGATGAAATTCCGGTGCGGAAGAAGAGAAGCAAGAAGAGATAACCTGGCCAACGGGTTGAAACGGAAAAACGACTGAAGTACGTGCTGGAGTTTCGAATACAGAAACGTGAATACTTTTTTTTTTTTTACAGACAGAAGTAAAACGTGAAAAGCAAAGAGAGTGTGTGCAACCACACACATGCATACAATCAGAGTATAACGTGTTTCGCGTTTATCGTGTCACGCTGTACGCCGCATAATTTCTTCGATTAAGAAATCTGAAAAGAATTATTTAAAGGGAATATATTTCTCAACGAATTGTCCCCCTTTAAACGAAATTTTCAAGCTTGTAGAATATCCGAGCTAATAGCATTATTAACTTAAATGATTTTGTGAAGATCCCTTTTAATTATCTTGTGTACCGTATCTAATGATAGAGATATCTTGTTGAAACAGGAGCACTGTAATTAATCGTTAGTATAATATATTCAGAAACAAGGGAAAAGATTTTTAAAGATAATAACAAACAAAGCAGAGTCATGATATTTGACCAGTGATCCGGAGATTAAAGCAATTTCGACACGAATCCTTTTTAATAGAAAATACGAAGTTTTTGTTATTCCTTTGTAATTCCTTAATTTTAATTAATCGATGATTAATCATCGCATCAAAATTGAATAATAACATATACGATCTGTATATTTGTTGTATATTTCTTCATAAAAAGGAAAGAAAAAACACTTGACCAGTAATTTTATTTGCATCTTAGATAAGATAGCAATTCTCTAGGATGGAGCATCTAAACGACTCTTTTCGATTACATATACGAGAGTGTACCCATTACGGCTTAACGATCTTCGAAAAGAGACGATTCGACTAGAAAGGGAGGAATAAGTAACGAGGGAAGCTCTTTTGTTTCGAACATTTGCGTTTGTTTGCAAAAATGTATTCTTAAAGAAAGAAAATCTCGTCGCATTTACGCAATAGAGAGGAAACCGATTAATACGATTGTGTACCGTAACCAATGATAAATTTATTTATTTATTAAATCGTTCCAACGATTAAGTTTGTAGTTTTTCAGCTTATCTATCGCGAGATTTAAATTCTTGCCAATGTTGCGAGGCACGATAATTACATTAATCGTTGTTACGTGGCACATTTTTATCGGATGATCCTTTCAAATTTTCGAAAATTGTGAAACTTAAAAGGAACTCGGACTGATTGCGTGTAGGTTTGTTGAATCATAATCGTGAACGAAATATTTTTCCACCTCTCTGTAACTATCCTCTCATATTTATCTCGACGTAAATTTCGACGAATTCCCCCGTGGGTTTCGATTCATCCAATCGAATGCAATCCCTAGTAAGTGAAAAAAAAACCTCTAATAACTCTTCGCTCATCCCCATGATACTTTAATATCGGAATATGCGGAATAAATAGATGCATTGCTGCTCGAACCGTGTGTCTCTTGGGATTTTGGGATCTGGAAAGGGCACGAAGGAGTTAATGATACAAAGTTTGCGTGTCTGGATATTAAAAGACCACTTTGAGATGATATATCATCGAGAGACAACTTTATTTTCGTGACCGTATACGAGTAATTGGATTTTTTATAAACAGAGAGACAGATAAATAGATAAAATAGACAGATAGATAAGATAGAAAGATAAGATAAACAGATAAGATAGGCAGATAACTTTTTTCCAACTTCGAAAGTTTCGTGCGAAACAGAGAAACAGATAAATAAATAAGATAGACAGATAAGATAAACAGATAAAATAAGCAGATAACTCTTTTCGAAAGTTTCGTACGAAACAGAGAGACAGATAAATAGATAATCACCGGTCAATATCTTCATCGGCCTTTCGCCATTATGTGCCACGGAGACGAGGCAACAGAGTCGAATATGGGATCCCCGATCGGATGGAATCGATTTCTTGCCGCTCGTCAACCAGCTCGTATATAGTAAGGGAATACGGGAAAACTTATAGTAAATACCTCTTGATGCTTAATTTTCAACTATATAAAACCTCTAATTCCTCTAATTGATAGCACAAGAGGGAATATCGAACTTGAATTCGAACCGAGGGACAATTAAAAATACCTTGCGTATTTGATCTTTTCGAGTGAAAAAAAAAAAAAGTCAAGAATATTTAACGTGTGTAAATATAAGTACAATTATCGGATAATAAAATATAATAAAATAATGAGAAAATTTCCACAGATAAGCTTGTCAATCCAAGTTGACAATGAAATTAAAACGGGGGATTAAAACATTCTATCTCTTGTTTGTTGGAAAAAAGATTTCGAGGTTCGTTCGTCAGTAACAATCGTCAGACTCGCTTAATCGAGTGATCCGATATCGGTTCAATTACACCGATAGCCCGAGTGCAAAGTTCCAAGTGGTATTGTCGCGATATTGCCGATACGCGTTTAGTCACGCATCGGCCGTGAAGAATGCAGTTGTGAGTGTGACCGATAGATAACCGAGATTTAATTAAAACGTGCTCCACGGACGTGGCAAACGATCGTTCCGCGTCAGACGGAACGTTGGAAAAACAATAGAGTTTGTTCGTGCCGACGAACGACGATTTATCTGTTACGAGTCAGGATAGAATTGCTCGATCCCCTCCCATTTTCGTTCCTCCCAGCTTTGTTCCAATGTTGTTTAAAAATTATTTAAAATTTCCGCAGGTGGAGGGAATAATCTTGTTCAATTGAGTCAACCGAGTTGGTGTTCTCGCGTTAACAATCTTTATGTACACTGAGAGTTTCACACTTAGCTCCGATAAATTAATTGAGATATACCCCTCTGGTCTGGCGCAAACCTTCCCGATTAATTGCGCGGAAACTATGTTGAAATAACAACCGAGGAAAGCATTCCGTAATTCGCTCGGTTGCATTAAAGCTAATCGCTCTTTATCTCTGCTAACTTCTAATATTCCTATCGATTTACAAGTTTAAACACCTTCTTGCCAAGATCCTTGACCGACTCTAATTAATACGGCAGTAAGTAACGATTGAAACGCTAAATGTCAATGTTATTTTCTAGCCTTTTCAGAACGACTTTTAATCTTCATTTATACATCGTTCGCTATTAAACTTGTAACGCCCTTGTAATGAATTTGTAAATGGAAAAAGTTCTCGCAGTTAACTCAATTACCTTATATTATAAAAGAAGAATTAATGTTATTATCGAAGGAGAATTTTATATTCTTCGATAACAATTTTGATTTCAAGATTATCTTCTAAGATAAGAAAATAAAGTATAAACGGAAAAAATAAAGATTCTTATCAATATTTTTATATACATAATAAATATCTATATACGTAATAAATATGATAAAAAAGAGCTAGAATTATTCGAATCAGATAAATTATTGAAAACGGAGACTGGTTGCTTCGAAAGAAAAAAGAAAAAGAAATTATGGTTCTCTAACAAACTTCTCATTTGGTTGGGATAATTAGATTTCGCTACTTTTACTCTCAACGTATCAACCATACTTTTAACTCATTTCTAACGCTTGTTTAAAGTTTTTCAATTGCTTTTAATCTTTCTACTGTTTAGTTGAAATTAAAATGTCCCCAGGATTTGGAGCATTACTATTTCAGAATAAGCGATTCCCATTGTTATTATAATATAATTCTCTCATTAATTTCCTTTCGCGCGTTTAGATAAAAAAAAATTCCATTCCGTCGTTTATCATTAAAGTCATTTTGTTAAGAAAAACGATCGAGAATCGAGAAAGTATGCAAGTATATTTATGTACGTGTAAATGAGAGAATAAATTATTTTCACGCATTTTCACCTCGATTTCGAGTCTTTGATAATTTCACTTGTGTTGCGCGCAATAGACGCGATACGATAAAATGTTAATTATGATTTACAATAAGAATATGAAAAAGATACTGAAACGATAACGTGTCAAAACAGATACCTAATGGAGAAAGGCTAATGTTTCGAAAAGTAGAAACGCGTCAAGAATTAACTGTCACTTGTTTGAACTACTACTACTACTACTATTACTACTACTGACCAACTCTATTCGATCAATTCGAATATACAGGACGTTCGTTTCTATACACAAACTCCGTAACAAGCCCTTTGACGGAATAATTCGGAAATTCAATCGACAGCAAGCATTTGCAGCCGGTTTCCTAAGCGTGTTAGTATGACGTAGCGTATGAAAAGGCATCATGTTCACTAAGGTATCGGTCGGTCGTGAGCGTAAGTTCTCCGTTTCTCGGTCAAACGTTGTAAAAAGCTTCTTGACCGGAATATTTTTAAATCCAATTCGCCTAATTATTCGATTGCAATCAACTCTCGAGTGAATTTTTCATTCGACTATCTGGTAGATCAGATGCAAATAACACGACACACGTTTACGAGGAGAAATTTAGGTCGAGTCGAGTCGAGTCGAGTCGATGGAGGACATGATTCATTTTATTAATTTCTCAAGTTGACCACGAGCAAAAAGAAGGATAACTCGAACGTGCGAGAGTAATAAATTTTCTGACTGGAAGGGAAAAAAAGGAGCGCGGGCGTAGCAACGGAATTAACGATTTTATCTTTTTTTTTTTTTTTTTTGCCAAGAAGCAAAACTTTTATCCGAATCTCCTCGTCTATATTTTTCTAACTGCTTTTTCTAACCGTTTTATATTCGTGACGTGTCTTTCTAGACCGACTGCAAAACCATGTTATCGGATAAAAAGTCAAAACGTAGAATATGCTTGTAAGAAACTCTAGATCTGCATAAACGTTTGCATTTACCTGACTACTTTAAGATGCCAATTAATGCCGTACTATTAAATGGTACGAACTTAACTCAACGTTAATCTGGTGGCGCGACATGTAAATTTTATAGCGAACGGAAATTATGGAAATTTTTGTAAATGAGCGAAAATTAAAATTATTAATCAAGGAATTATTAATTTATTTTCTTATCGGATATGAAAATTCAATTGTTACAAATAAAGTTTCTTAAGCCTCTCTTTTTAAGATCATCTTTCTAGATCTTCTTGTAATTTCGTTTTTAATATTTAACGATTGCGGTGTTATGCATATATTTTAATAATGATATCCCGATCTTGATTTTTTGTTTCAGACAGTATCCGTGACTGTGAGCATATTAACCCTAACTTTTATATCGATAGATCGATGGTACGCGATATGCTTTCCGCTGAGGTTCAAATCTACCACAGGATGGGCAAAAAATGCGATCATCGGAATTTGGACAATAGCTCTTCTATTTGGTAGTTATACACGTAAAATTTATTATTTTTCTTTAAATAAATTGTTGAACGGCACGTATATGTATTGTTTGTGTTTAGAATACGCATGCATAGAATAACTAGGTTCAAAATTAAGGCACTCGACATGTTATTTTTAGTTACTGACAAACTATGAGAAAAACCATGCACCAACACTCAACGTTTGTGCAGATATTCCAGATCTTGTGGTGTTGCATACCGTCCCACCTACTCACATCAAAATAAAAACGATTTTATTCACACAATGTAATATATCCTGGAGTAAAAAGAATCAAGTCGTCTTCATTATCGTCAAATTAATTTTCCTCTATACTGGACCTTTGATCTTCATGAGCGTAGCGTATTGGCAGATTGTAAAAGTCCTTTGGAAAAGCGACATTCCAGGGCATAATTGTAAGCGAATGATTAATTTTTATTTATTCATATCCTATAAATAGAATTATGACTAATATGCCTACAATAATAAAACGCAATGAATCATTATAAAGAATATTTCTGAAACTTGTAACGTGATCTCGAATAAAATCGAAAATCGTTTATATGTATACGTTTTTCCTCGTAAAATTTTTGTATCATTGTTTCTTATACTGTTAATATTCAATAATCTGTATGGCAGATATATTCTATGAAACATTTAATATTTGCGGAAATATTTGAAAATGCTAATACAATAATATGTAAATCTGTTCAATGAATAATTAATGATCTTAGCGAGAATAAAAATAATAACGAGGTAAGATCGTGAATAATTATTCGAAGCATTTACAGTACCGTCACGAGCATCCCAGACGAATCAGATTCCAACATCCGGTGGCGGAAATCCGGAAGTGCAGCTGAGATCTCGAAAAAAAGCAGCAAAGATGTTGGTCACGGTGGTCATCATTTTTGCCATTTGCTATTTTCCCGTGCATTTACTCTCCGTTTTAAGGTAACTTCTACTATTTGAATAAATTTTCCTTAATATTTAAAATACATCTAAAGTAAAAAAATTCGAATCATCAATAGGAAATTATTACTAAAATCGATATAGATACTTAATATTACTTAATATTTCAGGTATACCACTACATTGCCATCGAACAAATGGATAAATGCCATCAGTTTAATCGCGCATGGCCTATGCTATTTCAATAGTGCAGTTAATCCTCTGATCTACAACTTCATGAGCGGTAAACAACTTATTTTCTTATTTTCTTACTTTCATTAGCTGTAAACAAATAATACTTTGTCCAACGTGTTTCGATTGAGAGAATTAGTTGGTTAATTAGTAATTTTTCCAATGAATAATAAATAGCTTATATCGTTTTAAAATCTCATTGATGTATATAATTGATTTTTTATAAATTTGCATTACAGCAATGTATCCCCATTATATTGTTCCATTTATGTTTCCTTCATAAAATTGATAAATTTAATGCAAAACAATTTGATAAAAGTGCTAATATGAGTAAATTGATATCTTTGTGAAATGGAATAGAATGATTCATTTTTACTTGTTTTATAAATTTAATTATTGATGTCATTACAAAATTATGAACTTATTATTATTATTAGAAGCATTCATCATTATGATGATAATTTACTTTCTTGGATTTCTCATCTTTTTTAAAAAATTTTATAATCAAATAAAGCATTGTTTCGTTTCAACTATTGATCAATTTTTATTTTATATAATTAAATTTACCATTATACCGTTCGATTAAAAAATTCTTTTGTTATTAATTCGAATTCCGATATATTCTATATCAATAAAAATAATATTTTTTAATTCGCAAAAGAAATATTATATATATGAATATATCTGTAATTATTCTTTATTTATAAATTTAATAATTCTGGTTCTTATAAAGAGAACGGAAATAAGAGTGATAGCAAATGTAAAAGAGTAAAAAAAAAAATTTAATATGATTTGCAGGTAAGTTCCGGCAGGAGTTTGGTCGTACATTTCGAGAATGCTCCCCTTCGAATCCCTCAAACGATCGCAGGCTAGCAAATCAGCAACCCAGCTACGCTTATATAGCGAATGAGTATCGCTCTACACCGTCAAAAAATCGTCGTGAACAATTCTGACATGCGGAAATGCGAGTCTCTTGGAAAAAAACTTCTACTATTACCGTGGAAGGAACTCAAGCCAAAAACGAATCTACCCATGAATGATGTAGTTTGGATATTACCCTCTGCAATTTCAATGACGCTTAGGGTGAGCTATATTATATTTTAAGAGTTTTTGGCCATTTCTCAAAGTAATTTTTATAAATATTTGTTATACTTTTAATTTTAATTTAGCCATTCTATTTTATATATTGGCCGACTATCGAAAAGTAAACTTTTTTAATTTCGGAAACGTAATTTTTCAATGATTTTGAAAACGAAATCAATCGAATTATTGATATCGATTATTTAAGTTGTTGCAAATATCTTAATAGATTATTCTATCCTTTTGAAAAATTATGATATTTAAACAACATATTTGAAATGACTTTAATTAATTTTAATATGCTCGGTAACAAAATATTATATGGCTTACCCTTTTCGTTAAAGTACGGACAATACTACTAGCATCAATATTAATTATAATGTTAAATTTTAAATGAATCTTACAACAATTTACTTTTTTGAAAATAATACAGAATTAAAACAACGTAAATTATTTTATTTATATCATATACTTGAAAATATTATAGAAAATATTCAATAATTAATCACAAGGATTTTTATTACAGGGAAATTTCGAAAGGAATTTAGGCGTACATTTCGCTGTACTCGAGAAAATAATTCTCGCATGCAACGCGGACATCTTGCGACAACATCTAATTTTCCTCGAATTAAAACTCGGATTATGACGATACAACGGACAACGTTTAAAAATAACAACCTTCAACGAAACACCGAAATTATACCTCTCAGTGCTATAACCAGCATTCAACAAAACGAAAAACACGACTGATCGTAAGCATATACCTATATTAGTCATTATGATTATTAGACGCGCAATAAGATTCACAAATAATTTATTTACATATAATTTGAACTTTAATATTAAGATAATAGATAAATACAACAAAAATTATATTTTATTCGATAAGTAACAAAAAGAACTTGATAATCATATTTAATTTTTAAATTTGTAAAAATTGTTAGATACTTTTAATATCCATTGAAATATGAATTCATTAGATAACGAAACACTGAGCTATCTAAAATGTACTTACAATATTAAGAATTACCAGGGAGAAGCTCGACGTTTATTCTTGTAGAGCATGAATTATAACATAGGCACATACGAATTTGTAAATCATTCTTCTAATAGAATGATTGTATTTAGAATAATTATGTATATGTATTCTTTAAATGATACGTCGAACATACGCCGACAAAATTATATGTAAAATATTTAATAAGATTATATATATACTATATGTATATATACGCTACATGTTATAAATATGTGATGCAAATTTCATATTCTGTACACTGTTGTTAGTACATCATGTAATCTTGAACTTATCTTTAATTCGTTATAATTATACATGTACATCTTTGTCATGTATAGAAATTAACCCAAAAATCAATTCTATTATTCGTATAATCTCATTTCATTGTTGATGAAAATTGTATATAAATTAACATTAATTGATACGTTCGTGCATTTTGAGAAATTTGAAAAACTCAATAACTCAAAAAGAGGAAAATAAATTTAGTCATATATGGAAAAATTTCTTATCAATATATTATCTTTCCATTTCACCTTGCCAGTAACAAAGCATATTTTTATAAGCGTATTAAAAAAAAAATTATCGCGATATCAACCTTTCGAAGCTATTATGAAAAGTCGATTAAAATGGATAAATGATAAATTTTATAGTTAGTATCAATTTTGTCTTAATTAGATTTTAAGATATACTAAATTATATAACGATTATTTCTTCATAATATATGCGATCGAAGATTTTTTTTGCTGTCCTAATGTAAATAAAATTAAAGCATTAAGTAATTGTTTACCTAATAAATGTACTCCATTCATTCATCATTTACTTAAATCACGGTACAAACTCATTTGTACACAAAAGACATAACACGTATTAAGGTTACTGACCTGACTATATCCTATTTACAGTAGCCATTGTATTAAAAAGATATATCGATTTATTGATGATTTCATCAGTCAATGCTGCATGCGTTAATACTCGATATACAATAATATGTTTAACACTAATCGTTTCTACTAATTAAGTATTAGTAGATTTCATATATGAAAAGAGTTTAACAATATAGAAGAATGATATTTAATGATAGCAGCAGATTGATGGAATTCGTAGTGAAACATTAATACAAATGCAAACTACGAAATATACAACAATATAATGGAATTAGATAGTCATTCAAAATATGTTTTAGATACGCACACATCCAATTCCTATAATATTTCACAAATAATTTGTGAAGATCATTTTGCTATACAGACTTCAATAAAATTACATAGCATTTTATAATATATGCATACTCATACTCACGAAATGTAACAATTACATTTTTTGTAAGATACGTTACACGCTGTGCGATGTTTTCTCAAGCTGCTGTTTCTTCAACAGCAGTAATTTCAGTCGTAGTGCTTTCAATTTTATTTGAATCATTTTTAGTCTCTTCAATTATTACTTGCGTAGTTTTAAGTGGAATAATATCTTGTTCATTTATAATGATTTTTGATGAGTCATTAGCACTTATATCATTTAATTGATCCGCAGTAGTATTTTCTAAATTCACAGTAGCTTCAGGTTCGATATTTTTAATATTCTCTTTTTCAGTATTCTCAATCACAGTATTCATTATTACACTCGAATCTTCGATTTTCTGTGTTTCTTGAACATCTGACGTAGGTTGTTCAATTTGCATATTATCAAATTGTTCTGATATAATCTTCTGATCGTCTTCCACCGAATTAGTTTTAACTTCTTGTTCAGTCTGTTGTATACTACCAGGTTGATTCATTTGTTGAGGCTGTGTGCTTCTACCTCTTCCTCGACCGGTTTGGTGTTGTTGATTTTCAGGTGGTGGAAGAATAGGAATAGCCGCCTTTGGCCGTCTCATTGGAGCTGATTGTTGTTGTTGTTGAGCTGGACTATAATAAGTGCAACCTTGCGGTTGGAACAATTCTTGTGGAGGTGGAGGACGCTGTGGCTATAAAATATAAAATAAGCATATGGAAACTTCAAAATAATATAATTTTGAAATTTTAACCATATTGTTGTGTGACCATATTGTTGAGATAAAATGTACCTGTACTGGTGGACTATAGCCTTGATAACCTTGATAATTCGGTTGAAATGCTGGTCCATTTGGACCAGAAACATAATTAATTATACTAGCTGGAGTTTGTGGAGGAATAAATTGCGGTGGTGGTACTAAAAATGGTGGCGGAGCATAACTAGCAGGTTGACCATTAGGTGGTATAGGAATCACAGGTTGTCCAGCCAAAGGTGCAGTTGCAGTAGCAACAGGTGTAGATTGTTCAAAATGACTTTGAGGATATCCTATAAAAATAAAAAATATGAAACATGATATATGAACATAGTTACAAATTTAAATAAAATTAAATAATAATATAAAATAAAAAATAAAACATAATTATCCGTGTACTTGAAGGATTATGTCTATTTAATAAAAAAAAAAAAAAAAAAAGAAAGAAAGAAAGAAAAAAAGAGAAATAAATAAAACATTGTGTTTAAATAACCTACATTATCTCACCTTGTGAATCTAAAACACCTCTTGAATTTCCAGCTAAATACATGTACATATAAGTTAAATATTAATATAACATAAATATATTTATATTATTATCCATATTTATATCCATAAAAATATTTTATAAAGAAAAAAAGAAAATTTTAATGCATGAATATGCATATACCTTGAGGAGAAAAATATCCATGTTGACCGTGTTGGCCATGTTGTCCATGTTGATTATGCTGATTGTGTTGACTATGTTGACTATGTTGACTATGCTGATTATGTTGTCCATGTTGTGGTGGATAATTTTGTTGACCTGGATTATCTGAAATAGTAGGTCGCTGTCGCAAACTAGAATAACGTTTTGGCCTATTGGCAGAACTGTCTTGTTGAATTGACTGTTGTTGTTGTTGTTGCTGTGGTTGTTGTTGTTGTGAATGAGATTGTTGTTGCATTCTTGGAGGTACAGTTCCTGTCCTCTGTTGATTTGAGGATTGCCCATAAAAGCTTTCTAAAAAAATATTAAATAACAAAATAATACATAATATTACTTATAAATAAATAAACATTAAAGACTCACTATTATGTCTTCCACTTTGATGATATTGAGCACTATCATTAACATTAATATGTTTCATATCATGAGTAATTTGTTGTTCATCATCACTTCGTATATTATTTCTTTTATTCTCTGTGGAAATTGGACCCGCTCCACGTCCCTTTGGTTTAGTCTCAATTGTTCTATTGGTGACCATATTGTTATTAGCATTTGTTCTGAATCCTCGTCCACGAGTTTTACTCGCTGCCAAGCTTACAGACTCTTGAATGTTCCTCTTGTTATTATCTCTTGGAGAGGTTTTTGTATTAACTAATTTATCTGCATCACCACCAGCTCCACTATTTCCATTACTATTTTGTGTATGAGGTGAATGTTTAGTATCTTTTTTCCAAGCTGGATTTGTAGGTTCATTAGGAGCTTTATTTTCATTTCTATAAATAAAAAAATTGAAATATTTATTTTTATTTAATATATTGAATAAATAAAAAAATGTAATAAATATAATACATTTAAATAAAATTATTACATACGTATGAGTAGTAGATGTATGGCTAGACTTCGTTTTTGAGCTTGTATCATTTTGAGTTTGTAGAGGTGGAAAATTTGGTACTTTATTTTGTGATTTATTTTTACTGCTGTACCAAGCTGAGGAGATTACTGGTTCTTCTACATGTGCAGAAGCATTTTTATTTGTTCCTAGAGCTGGAAAATCTTCACCACTTCTATTAAATCTTCTATTCCTATTTAGAATATTACTCCCAGGTTTTCCATATGCATCCTCATCTTCCCAATTACGTGTATATTTATTAGGTCCACGACTAAAAAATATAATATATTTGAAGAAAAGAATATTATAAAAATTAAAGTATTTTTAAAAATATATTTACCCATATCTTCTTCTTCTTCTAGCTCTAGGTGGACCTTCTTCATTTCTTATATCATAACCATAAACTGCTATTAATTCTTCATGACTTTTTGGTGCTTGCTCTTCATCATTATATCGATCATGATCCCACCTATCTTCTTTATCTTTCCATACTTTTTTTTCTTTGGTTTCTCTTTCACTTTGTGATTCAGCAGTACTATCTATTACTTCATCAGTTGTTCTATCATCATGTTCATAAAATGTTCCTCTCTTAGGAATATATTGTGGATTACGTCTGTCTTCATCATCATCTAATTTTTTTTGTGGTTTTTCTTCTTCTTGGCCATCACCACTTTCTCGCAATGCACCATCTTGAGATTCAGCATCAGAATCAGAAGGATAAATTTCACATTCCGAATCTTGATGACCATCAGTTTGTTCACTGCTCTATAAGTAAAAATTTATAAAGGAAGTACAAAGAAACAAAAAATGGAACTATAATAACTTATATGATATTTACAGATTAAAAAATTATTTTTGAAAATTTTTTTCTGATATTATGAAAATACATTTTATTTATATTTAATATACAAAATCTCATTTGGATTTTTATATGCAATGAAATTATGAAATACGCAAAACCACTTGCCGGTAAATCGAACATAAAGAAAAGTCTACTTAGTTACGAAAAAGTATTACAGCAGTCTACTTAATCCACTTAATCGAGTCTTCCGTTGAACTTTCGATCCAGTTCAATAAGAAGCAAAAAGTTTGATGAACAATAAGAACTTGGAAGTGAAATCGTGAAAAAAAGAATAAAACTATTTATTTCAATTCTTCAAAATGCAAAATCGAAAACACCTTTATAGCAACTAACCTGGGTTTCTTTCGTTGCATTTAATTCTTCACAAGAGTCCGAGAGGTCGTCAGAACCACAAGACTGATTAGATTTTCGTCGTCGTCTTGTATCCGACATGTTATTATAGTTGAAAGTATGCGTTCTGGAATTATCACAGATTTTCGTCTATAAAATATACGATGAACGACAAATGACTTTTAAGGTCGAACTAGTTGATGCCTGTTCCTGCTTCGATCAGTTTCCGATTTCGATTCTTGGTCACGAATCACAGACTAAACGTATTACTATCGAGAAGGCACACCAGACTCACAAAATTTTAGCAATAGAAATGATTTCGTCGAATCGCTGTCAGATTACTTAATAGCAATGGCGGTTCTATAAACTTCCGAACATGAGATCTTTCTCTACAATGTGTTAAATTAATAGTAATTGGAATAAATTTTTGTATTAGATCTATTAGAATGGCAATATTTATTTATAAATTAATTAAATTGTTTAAAGAAAAATTATTCAGTTTATAATAATATGTTTATATAATTTAATTGATTGCGCGGGAATTTGAATTTTTATAGGTTGTAAACGCCATCTATAAAATTTGTATTGATACGTAAATATCACTTGATATTTTCAAGATAGGTGCGTACAGCTATTTTCTTAGACCCTGAGCTTCAAAGATGAAAACAAAGTTTTCCTGTTATAGAATTAAAAAACAAATTCGACTTATAAAAAAAAATTGTTATAAACAATTATATGTTTTTATCAAGTATTCTTCTTCCACTATATTTTATAAAGCTGAACAACATTGTAATAAAAAATGACCACGCATGTTGTTCACGTGGTATAAAATTATTGGTATTTGGATATAATTGGGGTTAATCAAAGAACTAAAAATTCTATAAGTATAGTGTCAACATCGTAAGAAAATCTTTTCAGATAAAGTAGAATATTGAAACAAGTAGAGTAGAATATTTTATACATAAAATATAAAATATAAATTATTTTCAAATTAAATGTATTCATATAATATAGTGTCTATTAAATATATATGGACAAATGTTTGTTAACCATTAAGTTGTGATACGAAACATAAATGACCTAACGTAGATATATTGCTGTCGTCATAAGTCCGAAGATATTTCATATAGACTTTGTCTAAAGATATGATGAAATAATTGCAATTTTATTAAAATGTGGAAATACTGTGGTATTTACAATGTATTGTGTATTATAATTACTATTGTATATGGACACGATTTCAGAAGTTTCGATGATACAGTTCTTTTTAAAATTAATTGGCCAGGCAAAGGTGGCTCGGATTTATTAGTAAGTATTAATAAAATAAAAATTGATATTAAAAAATATTAATATTAAAAAATGTAAATTAATATTATATTATTATATATATTATATATTTTTAATAGGAATCTAGACAAAATGTAGAACCTTATATTATAACGACTGCAAATAAGGAACGATATCAATGCTTAATTGTTGATAATTCAGAGCAAGAACAAGATTATAATGAACCATATACTGGACCAAATCCAACAGAAATTTTATCACTATTATTTAAACAAAACACTTGTTCTTATAGAGTATACATTATAAATATTATTAATATACTATATAAAAATTATATAAAAAATTGAATTTTATATAAAAATTATATATATTTTTAGGTTGAATCTTATTGGTCATATGAATTGTGCCATGGACGATATGCACGTCAATATCATGAAGATAGAGATGGAAAACAAGTAAAGACTCAAGAATATTATTTGGGTATTTTTGATAAATTACAAGAGGTAAAGTTTTTAGCTGAATATGCAGAAAAAGAAACACATCCTACTAAAAAAGCAAATATACCAGTAAAAAAAGTTGATGGAATCAATATGCCATATGTTGAAATTGAAATGATTGATGGCACTGTTTGTGATTTAACTAATAAGCCAAGAAAGATAAAAGTTTTGTATGTTTGTTATCAGCATGGTAAACATGAATTATTTTCATTAGAAGAACCTTCTAGCTGTGAATATGAGGTTATTGTCCTCTCTCCTTTGTTATGTAGTCATCCTGACTACAAACCTCAAGCTACAGGCGAAAATGAAATTAATTGCCATCCACTTGACAATGCTCCAAAAAAGCCAAGATCTCTTGTTGCAATGGAAATGGAAAGTCTAAAACTTCGATATCAAAAAGTAACGGTAAAACCATCTTCTGTGCGTTCTTTGTATTCAGTTATTTATTTCTGACTATGCTTGTGCCATATGTATATAATATTGTTATTTAAAATAAAATATATTTACTTATATTTTCTGTGTATGGTAGTGATAATTTTTGTTATTGATTTATATGAAACACATTTTTATGCAAAATTTTCAAATAAGAATAGATTTTTAAATATGTTCTAATAATGTGCCATTCAATAGTAGAAAACAATACATTAATTAATATTATATATTTTTTCTGAACTAATTAAATATTTCTATTTTATGAAAGATTTTTGAAGTAATTTTGACTTGTACCTTTAAGCTAGTCTTTTTAGTGTATAACAATTTTCGATTTGTTATTTTTATTATTTACTGTCTACATACATTAAATTAACTATTTGTTGCACAGGATGACAAGCTGCAGAAAGTCTATGCAATCTTCCATGTAGATAAGGAGGGCCAGGTCAGAATATTTTGTATTTTTGGGATCAGGCCAAAGTGCTTGATGGTTCTTGTCATTTGTCGCCATTAATTTGTATCTTATTCTGTCCCTTCCTTTTCTACATACAGTTATTTCCTTTAAATCTACAATTTTTCCAAAAAAATATTACAATAACATTATGAATGCTATTTATGCACCATTTTATCTTTAGCATTGCATATCCACTGCTTTACTTATTCAGCTAAATTTAAGGTATTTGTCATTTTTGCTTCACATATTGCTTTTAATTAAGGATTAATGTTACATCACATACATAAAATGCTATATGAAGCATATATTTTCAAAATAAGTATAAATTATTATAAAATAAAATAAAATACTATAAAATCATAATTTAACAATAAATGGAACTGGATTTGTTTATTAATATTCATAACTAAGAGAAAAACGCATTCTTATTTCTAACAAATTCATACAATTGATATTAACATTTGTAACTATTCTCGTAAGAAAGTTCGTTTTGCATGACGCATAATTGAAAATTTAATTAATTTACATTTATTTCAGGATGGAGAAGCGCGTGTTAGAGTTGAAATACATCCCGTTGGGGTTATTGATAAACATAATAACATTGAAGATTCTATAAATTCATTAACAGATCAAGGTATTAGCCCAGCGGAAGTAAGTCCAGTAAAGAACTTTTTAAGTGGAAAAAATTGTTTACATGGGGTAAATATTATATTTCTGATAATATCTTTTTATTATATTTTATTCAATAATATATATGATATGATATAAATAGGGCAATGGATGGTGGAAATATGAATTTTGTTATGGACGTTCTGTGGTTCAATATCATATTGAACGTGATGGTAAAAAAACTATAGTAAATCTTGGTAAATTCGATAAGCAAAAACATTTGGAATGGATTGCTGCACATCCACATAAAAAACCAAAGGCTCCAGAATTACGGAAACATCTTTCTCATTTCTATAGTGATGGTACTATTTGCGATAAGACTGGCAATCCGAGGCAAACGGAGGTATTATATGTCTGTAAATTTTGTAATTTATTTATTTTTGTATGTAGTTATTAAAATATTGGTCATTTTCAGGTGAAATTAAAATGCGTTGAAAGTCATACAGCTAGTCCATCCAGCGTTTCTCTATTTCTACTTGAACCAAAAACATGCGAGTATGTTTTAGGTGTGGAATCACCATTGATCTGTGATATTTTAGAATACGCCGATGAAAATGGACTTCTTAGTGAAAAATTTGAAGTGAATTTTGATAAATTAAAGACAACTGCTTTCCATGAATACGACGATTTGGATGAAAGGATAGCAAACGGAGACGATTAAAATAATATTCGATTAATAGATATTAGTTGTTAAAAAAATTTTTTTTAATGATAAAAGTGACAGTATTAGGGTGTTGGACATTTGCATTTCAGTTATTATATAAAAAATTTCAAAAATTTTATTTTTACAGACTCAGTTTATATCAACATAAAAGCGTCATGCAAAGTTTTCAGATATTTTACAATATATATGTAAGCATAACAATTCTTTAAAATATATAATGCGATCGATACATTATCGCAAATTATTGCGCGACGAAAATTGTAACGTTTGCAAAAGTTTTTTCACTTTGTAAAATTTTAAAAGAAATAATTACAATCATCTTATGTTAATTTCTGTTATTATTGAAATGATTCTATTATTCTTATAAATAATGAAAAAAAGAAACATGATGATAGTTACACATAACAAATTATATCATACATTCTTCATTATTGTCCAATATTAAGACCAACTCCCACACGAAATTGTTGTTTTCTATGGTTTAAAAGTGCGCTAATAATCAGTGAGGATTCTGGAATTGGGTATAGTTTCTTCTCAAATACACCACCGACTGTAGTTTCAGAATTCACGATACCTCGGAAAAGAAGATCCGCATATGGTACATTTACTTGATAAACTATAGTAGCAATTGACTGATGTGTCCTCGTATTTGTTTCTAACTCGACCCCAATTTCCAATTGCGAGCTAGCTTTGCGATGATAACAAAGATGAAGACCCGCTTCACCTATAGTCCCAGATAATGTTGTAAGTCCTGTACTGTGTCTAAAAGCCATGCACATGACCGTCTGTTGACCGCCTGGAACTTTTGAGCCACGAAGGCATGCAATCTCGGCTCCTAACGCAATTCTCGATGTGATCGATTGTAAAAAGTGTATTACCACTGTTCCTTGCTTCTTTGTAAATTTTGGATTGGCTAGGGTTATCGCTACAGTGAAATCATTCGACCGATATTCCAGACTGGAACTCGATGCTTTGCATTTTCCATCGGCAATTTGTGCCGATAATTTGTACCTAAGTCTACATCCAATCGTATGCATAAAAGAGGCGGTCAAATTTCCATTTGGTGCGATATCTCCCGAAGCTACAGGATATCTTTCATTAGGATTAACCACTTTTGTACCAATATATTTTGCACCGAATTTATATCCAGACGGGGTAACGGAACTGAGAGTAATAGTATGTGTCACATTAAAATGTTGACTAAGAATTTTGTTGATGATGAGCCGCGCACCTTCAAAGTTTTGCGGATATAGATCTTTAACCTTTTTATGTATATCTTCGAAACTACCAGGATTTCCTGGTGCTTTGTCTTCTGCTTCGCACGGTATACAATCTTCATTACTTATTACACTTGGTTCTTCTAATTTTTTTCTTGATGCATGCACCGTACCCATTGTAATACATTAGGCTTATTCTTTTAAAAGAACATTTTAAAAGAATCGGAAAATTTTCCTTAAGTGCTTTTTAATTTTGTACTTGATGACAACATATGAATAAAATTAATTCTAACGTAAACAGGTTATATGATTTTTCTGTTAATTTTAAACTTAAATGAACGATATATTCCATATACGCGATATATCGATTTTATAAATTCACTATATCAAACTAAAATATCGATTGTATAGTATATCGATTGTCGATTCATAATACAATTTTAGTATCAATTTCACTACTAGATGGCTTTCGAGTAAAGCATTTAAATATAGTATTTATATGAACGTATAAAAATTGCTTTAGAAAACCTTAATAATGTGATTATCTTAATTTAAAATATTATACTTTGTTACAATATTAATTATAATTATATATTAAATGTATAATTTTTTCTCCAAAGTTTGATAATATATGGTATTTATGATGTGTACTTTTCTCGCAAGTGGTCCAATAGTATTCTGTTGCTTTATATAACAGAATCAAACGGGAACTATCGGAAGTGTGTGCTAGTGATGGCACAGCTGAACATTGATCGCTAACGTAGAAATATGGCAGATCTGCTCAGTGGGTGTTGTCACGTGGTCGCTTCAAGTAGCTTGTGTTTGGCTCCCGATTGCGCGTGCAAGTTCGTGGTGTTTTGCTTTAAGCATCATCTCGGATCTGCACGCCTGCACGGTTGAGTCCTTCACGTCGCTCCTCGAACTACCGCGATTTCCAAATTGGGGGGCAATCGAATAGGTCAGACGAGGTTATAATTTGTCGCTTCCATATACAGGCACTGCAGATAAGCAGTATGCCATGTTTTTTTTTTTTAATTACTATATTTTTTACTTTTATTTTAATTAAATTTCACTTAATACTTTTTATAAAAATAATATATAATATAATATAATAAAAAATAAAATAATATGAAAAAAAACTTTTTTTTTTTGTATGATTTTATTTTTATTTTTATTTTTAATTTTATTTTTAAAATAAAAAAATTATATAAAATTTATGTGGCTAATTTTTTTTGTGCTTCGCTGTTTACTTCAGATGCAACTTGAGTAAAAAGTAAATTCCAATTCCATACTTCATCTAATTCTTTCGTCAAATTTTCATTGTATAATTTTTCTGCTAAAAGAGAAAGATTAACACCATTTAAAGACGTGAATGCAGCATTTTTCACCAAATCTGTATCAAGTTCTTTGTATGCAGCGACTCTGTTCACGTTCATTCTATAAGTTTTAAAAAAATTGAAGATAATTGAATGAGGATTTTTGCAAAACTTCATAACAGTACTTACGTTGACGTATTAATATCAGAAAACGCATTATCTTCCTGAATTTCATCCAAATCGGGAATTACAGGAATATCTACAAATATTCTATCACAATCAATTTTCTTGCCTACAAGATTTTTATATTTCAAATAATTTTTTAAATTAATTCTTACCATCTATAATTTCATCCTTCTCTATCCCTCGAGAACGTTCTCTAAGAAATAATCTATCAGCGATTATGGATGTCTGACTTTTTTAATTCTATTTATTATACTTACTGTTCAATAATAGAAGCTCCACGTATCCTAAAATTATTATTAAAGAAGGAAAATTATCGATAAATTTTTAATAGAAATCAATACAAAACAACTTACTTCCCGCTTTTCAATTCGTCACCCCATCCAGTTTTTCTAGTACGAGGAGGCGCTACAGGTGGTTGTGCTGATTTCACGAAGGATGACGATACAGGGCTTTCCAAAGGATCATCGTCGAGTTTAGAGTCTTCTAATACAATATTTTGCGTCGATCTTCTACCAAGACGAGGTAAAAGCTAAAAACAATAATATTAATATAGTCAATAATAAATTATATACAATTTATTAGAAAACGTAAATATTTAAGGACTTACTTTTTTCGAAGTAATTTCCAAATCCGTAGCCCAATCCATAGCTGTCTATCGAATTTTGATAGGTTAGCTAAGAGGTAATCCGCATTTATGTTTGTATGCAGTAACCATAACAACTGAACGGTCTGGTGGCACGCGCGATTGAATCGACTTTACTCGTCTTGCTCCCCTCTTTCGTTCGGGAAGTAGCGCGAGGGGCAAGAAACGTGACTGGAAACGCGCCAGTAATATACTCGAAACCGGTTTCAAGTTCCTTTCGATTAGAGCGCGTCTTTTTAAACATGCCACCAAAAAGATTGGCGCAGAAATAAGCGTAAATCATCGTATAAAAGGTAAAATTGTAACAGCGTTACATTTATTTCTTAAATTTCATCGTACAAATATTTATACATTCAAAAGTAACAAAAATAAAAATAGGATTTCATTATGAATTTTTTAAGTATCCTATATTATAAATCCTTGTAATCGAAAACTCGACAGTTAATAATATTTGGTGTTGTCAATCTGTCGTTGATATTCCTCATCATCGGGATTGGCCTGACAGGCGTTGTCATTGTTTGGTGGTCGTACACCGTTATACCTATAATTTTAATATTAATGATAAGTATATAAGAGAAAACTAGAATATCATAATAACTTTAGATTAAAATGCTTTTAAATATTGAAAGACCTGGAAAAGTCACCCTTGCAGAGTCTCCACGGTAATATATCGATTCTTTCATGAAGTATGGGTGATATCTCAGGACTGACAAAGTTTGGAGTACCAGCACCGGAACCACGGGTCAAAAGCTTCCTTTGGCGATCATAGCAGCAATGTTGAACCGCAGCACTTCCACTTCCCTGTGTCAGCAATGATCGTATACAGTAAGTGGCTCCTGGCTTGTAAACGTCAAGTCTTTGAGAGTCACCGCTTACATCTCTCCATCTGAAATATTTCATTCGCTTCTCATCCCAAATTTTATCATCGTAAAAAATATTACTAGGATATTGACATGGGCAAGCAGGTAATGACGTTAAACCATCTGTAACAACAAGTGTTCGAGAAACCAAATACAATATTTAAAACGGTCTGAATGAACGAATATTCATACCTAAGAAAACTTGCTCGAGCTTATCCCTGCTATTTAACCATTTTTGACAAGGGTCTTCATTTGTTCCATTTACAAAGTTTAATTCCTTGAAAATATTCCGTTCGTCCGTTGTAGTAGCGTTTCGAAGACTTTGAAATAATTTGGCCAGAAGATCGCTTAAACTTTCGTGGATTATAACGTGATCATCGGCAGCCGAGTAAATAGCCGGAGAATATATTTCGTCCGAGTAATCTGTACTCTCGGTAAATTTATCTTTTTTCGATCGATCTCTTTTTTTCCAAGATTGGTCTACATTTTCATACTCGATTTCATCAGTTATAGATGGTTCATCATACGAACCTATCAATCCCTCGTCTGATAAATTACTTGTAGAATTGTTTCGTTCTATAACAACGAAACTTCCTTTCTTTGATTTAATTCTATTCTTCTCCACATCGGTATTATAATCCTCTTCTTTAGTTTTATTATACATCTCCTAAATACAAAAATAACTCTAATTTATTTATTTATTTATTTATTTTCAATTTATCCAATAATTACCTGTACCTGATCATTCACCCCTAATATATCATCTAATTCTTCTTCGATCTCTAGAACTGTATTATTTTCATCACGATTTTTCTTTGTCTCATTAGAAATATGAATATCTATCGGCGTCGTGTTGTTGTCCTGGCGAAGGGACAGTTTGCTCCCAGATGTGCTTTCAACGCATGTCGATCGATTTCTGTAACGACGTCGCTTCCGATGTTTCGCATGTCTTGTAGGAATCTCTTCGACCAACTGTTCGTTACGTTTGTTTCTAATTAATTCATCGATCATCCAAGATGGTTGAAGCAGATTCAAAATTTTCTTTCGATACATATTTTCCAAATCTCCATTCATCTCGGAATTATTAATCTGTAAATAAAAAGCAAATTCATTGATTATCCGTGAAAATAAAAATAATTTAAACACCATCGATCTAGGATAGTTCAAATGGAGTCGGATTCGTGGTAGTGGGATCATTTGACCGTTCGTTACAAAGAAAGGCAACGGTGGTCGGCACGACATCAAAAGAAGAAACCGTGTTTGACTCGTCGATGAGGTACGAAGCTCTCACAAGGAAAAGGAACGCTGGAATGGAATGGAACGAAATAGGATACACTCGTCGATTCGTGAGACAGGAAATGTTTTTTTATTTCTTGGAAATGTGCATTGTGAAATCGTTTCCCAATAGAAAACTCAACTCAGTGGATGGATTGATGAAATTTCAGTTTCCCGCCTTTTTTAGTTACGCGAAACTCGTTCGATGAAAAATAGAAATATAATGAAAGAAATTTTTATAACGAAGACTAATTCACTTTTACAATTGCACATACAATTACTTACATGATTATTTTCCGTACAAACGATGGAAACAATTAACATTAATTGGAATGGAAGAATCCAATGAAGAAAAGTTGAGATTTTCATTTTTACCATCAACGATTCCGCATAATGTTTTTTCGATAATCGTTTAATTCTTCCTTCACGCGATATCGTTTTTTTAATTATTTAATCGCACACCCGCGCATTCTCACGATTTCGATTGGTTTCACACGTTTCATCCCCTTCGATTACTCCCGAACGAAGCAAGAACGTTGCTCAGTGTCGTCGCCTCTTTTGTTTACATTCTAATCGATTCGTTTGGAAACAATCGGCAAGATCAAGATCGATATCCAAGAACGTTACATAATTAGAGAACTAGTAAATCGATAAAGGAAAATTGCATGCGAACTGGATGGATGTAAGAAAAAAAAAAAGAAAAACAACGAAAGAACAACAAAGAACAAAGGCAACGTGAAAGAAGGAACACAGCATACACGAGGCACGAGGCGCGTACTGTTCAAAGGCCTACCACTATATGTATAGTTGTGAACTCGTGAAGTTCTGTCCCACTATAATGGCCAAGCAGCAGTAGTGGAGAGGCTGGAGAGGTAGCGCGCCGGATGACAGAATACTACGTCATTGTACAGGTCGTCGTACAGTTCACGGCTTAGGGTTTCTTACTTATGTTAGCGGCAGTTCCCGCCCTATCGCTTTTCTCTCTTCCTTTTACACCGATTCCGTTTTACCTCCATGTTCTTCTCTCCACTTGCCTCGTTCCTTCCACGTTGCATTACCTCTCCTTTTCTCTCTGATATCTATCCTACCATCTTCCAACCCTTTGAATAGCCACGAGATTATTTTCACGAGATAATTTAATTGTTTCTTCCTCGCCGTTCTACGAGAGTATCTCGGATTGATAAAATACACGAGAGCGTGTTAAACATTCAGATCATCGATTTCCATCATCCTGCTGTCCGGCAGAAGCTATAACGTACAACTATGTAAAAATAGAGGAAATAATAATAGGTTTCAATTCTCAAGTTGGTTGCCATGAACGCGAATGACACGTATTACGATATCAAGGATCTAAATACAGCATTGGAATCCAATGGAACGCGTTTCGGTTATTTTTAGGCGGACAGATTCGAAAATACACCCACCATGGATTAAATATAACTGGAGATGCACGCATACGGAATGCGGTACGATGGCACGCGAACGATCGGTTGCTCGCAAATATGCAAATCCCCGCGTCGAAGGAGCAACACTGTTTCTTTTCAACGCTGATCGCCTTATTTATCGTTCTTCGTATTTTCGTTTAAATGTCTTTCGTCTTCCCTTTTTTTTTCTTTTTCTTTTATAGTTACTTCTCCTAGCACTATGACGATCTATCGCCAAAGATTCTATCTACGAAGATTCACAAAAAAGTTGGATGGAAAACCTAAAATTATTTGATTTCGGACAAATTGGTTATTAAATTTCTTTGACTTCGCGTGGGAGGCGTGGATGAAAATTTATGTACAACGATTCCAAAGATAATTAACAAAAAAAAAAAAAAAAAAAACAGGAAGACAAACACGAGCTGCGATAGAGATGATGGGGATCAATCGGCATCAATCGCCTAATCGTTCACAATTTCTTCTAATTCCTTATTGCTTCACGCTGTGCTCCATGTGGATTACGTTCATCCTATTAACGCGCGCATTAAGTTCTGAATCGATTCGAATATGATTGTATTGTGGGCTTTAACAAGGTTGTTAAACTAATCTGTTTACATTTCCGATCCATATTATGTATTCCAGCAATGGAATAAAAGGAGAGCAGCGAATATGACCGCGTCATCATGAAGGAAGAGGGGCGAAGGCGACACGATGAGTCGTAAAAGCACGAGCAAGGTATCAGATATTTGGAATGGTACAGGCGCCACCATTGGTATACCAGATTTTTCAACGGGCCGACAACTGATTTCGATTCAACTTCGTTTATTTACTCGTAGATCGTCGAGCGCCACCGATACCGGATTGCAGGAAAAGGATAAAAAACGGCATTTAACACCGGTAGCGCTGACATTCCACGACTGCTTCTCTGCATCCAGTGGCGCCAAAGTCATCGTCTCGAGCACTGTTACCGTCACGTTTATTTTATTAACGGCACACTCGTAAAATTTACGCCTTCATTTCAACGCTCAACGAATGAAACGCCTCTCCTCTTCCAAGAAAATCACCTTTCGCTCGTATCCGAACTCGACTCGACTTCGTTCCTTCAATCTATTCGACCGGCTTCTTTTATTGTGATGTGTCGGTTTATTAAAGTATCGTAAATATATGATTTCAAATGTATCTCGGTGGATACGATACCATCAAATTTCCAAATATAGAACCTAAAGTTTGTGGCGCGAATCTCGTCTCGACGGGAGGGGTGAGAAAGGGTGTAAGAATAATATACCACGCGTGAGAAACGATTCTTATAGCTTAAATATTCATTTTTATTATGTCATAATTAAAATATAAATAACTATAATTTTACGATACAATAGTATATACAATGATCGAGACAATTAACTCTCTACAACTGTGATTATAATAATAATTTAATGACGATACAGGATTTAATTGTTTAATGACGATATAGACACGTGCTAATTGATTGATACACATGACCCTACGCGAATTTAGGAATGTTTTTATGTACAATGTTGCGACGACAACTTAACAACGGCGATCTTCAGATGAACCTTTAGGAATGACTCACGGGCTAACGTGTAGTAAAAATCATTTTTACCTGATGTATTCTTTCACTCTTGCACTCTATCTATCTCTTTCTCTCTCTCTCTCTCTCACACACACATGCGTTTCAATTCTTTCTTTCCATTTCCTCGCATATCATATCCGTGTATTCTTCGTTTCTTTTCTTTTTTTTTTCTTTTTCCTTTTTTTCTCAATATCATCGAGATATAATTCACTCGCTACTTCTTTCACAAGGAGAACGAACGTTTCATCGCGCAGATTCTAAAAACGACGACGAAATTCTTAACGGCATCCACAACGGTCAGCGATCATGTCTTGATAAACTTTCAAGATAACGTTCTCGTTATCGTCATAGAACAAAATGGTCGTGCCCAACAGCTTAGTAGGTACGCAACAGGGTCTCTCAACCCCTTTCACCAGTCCCATTTTATGAACAATTCCTTGGATAGTCGCGTGATTGGTCGGTTGTTGATCTTGACTCAATGGCGATTCGCAGATACCTTTGCAATGAAAAGCTGAGTAACCAAGCGGGGCAATGATAGAGGAGGAAAGACCAATCTCTTTGAAATCCACGTAGAGCTCGTGCCTCGAGCATTCGGTGACGTTTTGCCGAACGGATGCGTGGCTTTTCGCCGATCGTTTCTCGCGAATCTTCTCGCTCGATAACGATCCTTCTCGAACTCTTTCTGCCATTCTCTCGCGACTCATCGCTCGTTCATATATATCCATCGACGTTAAACCGCCTCTAAATATCGTGTCGGGCGAGGAAATTCCCTTCCCGTGCAATTTTTTCGAAACAATCTTAGTTTCCCTTCGACGCCGTCCGAAAGATTCTTCCACGAGATGTTGCGCATCTTCAGTCACTCCGTCGTATTCCCTCATCTGAGTTCTCCTCCGCCTTTGAAACGATTCGGATTTATTTTTATTTTCCCATCGATCCTCTTCCAATTGCCCTTCTCCACGATCCTCTTCCACATCGCTGTACTCGTTCATCCTCGAATCATCCTTCCCTCCGTCCCCGTCCTCATGAAATACTTGTTCGATCTCGTTGTTGTTGTTACCTCGACGATCCTTCCCGTCGTCGTCGAAAAGTACCAAAATCGGTTGCTTGCTATGATGATACTCATTCCGTCGGGAAAATTCCACGTTCACTTGATCCTCGAATAAAGTGGAAGCGGTTACTAAAAGTCCAAGGTTTGGCTCCCCGTTTAGCCAAGCGAGAACAGCTTGCTTCACATTGAATATCTGGTGAAAAAGAAGAAGAAGAAGAGAGAAAGAAAATCGAGCATTTAATAATAACATGGAAAATAATATGTTTTAAAAATTTCATAATTCTATAATAATCTTGCCTGCCAACCAGACGCGTGCGCTCCAACGTATCTAACATTTAGCAGCCTGTGAAGATCGGGAACGTCCAAACTTTTCTCGTCCAAAACTTGATACACTCTTATCTAAGGAGCGAAACATTCGATAAAAGAATTCTCTGAGAATGGACAAATTGCAATTGATATATATATATATATATATATATACTTACCAAGTAATACGGAGAAGCTAAAATGGAAGGATGCAAAGCTTTCAAAGGTGTTCTTTTTCGATACAGATGAAGCTCCGCCTCCAAAACAGATTCGTTCACTTCCAAACCTGTGATGTTGAAGAAGTAAAACCGCGATGTGGTGGTGTCTGCGTGAAAGTTTTTTAATTTCGATGAAAATGTTTCAATGGAAAACAGGAAGGACAAAACGGGGTAAGGTGAACGAGGTACCTCTTTCGACGAAGCTGCGGACGACTTTGGCGTTGTAGGGATTTTTGCCACGCGTAACACCGCTAGGATCCGCTACGTTGTTATACAATTCCACCATAAATTGCGGCGGCACCTTACGACGTCCCGTTCTCTCACCGTAACTTCGAATACCAAGAACCTGAAATAACGATTTCATTCTCGTTAATGTTCGTCGAACATTCACTTCTTCCTCTCACAAACGTCCCACAAACGTCTACTATCACGCTGGAAAAAAAATAGACCTGTTGCAGTTTCTCCAAAATCTCGTTCCGACGAGCGTCGTGCTCGTTCAAAGCTTCGCCCAACGGCCACGAGTTCACGAGTTCTCCCACGTTGCCGTTATCATCCTCGGTGAAACGGCTCGGGTGTGAGTGCGCCTCGAAGGAGGACGAAAAGAACAGCGTTGCGAAAAGTAGAAACCGGACGTCTCTCATCGTCATTTCTCGCTCACACACGATTCGCGTGAGTGGATAAGAATGGCGAGAAAGGTGGCTCGAAATAACGTGCTCGCGACGATCGTCTCTTTGGATCCGCCCGATGACGGATGATGTGGAACATGGACCGAATCTACGCGCGAAACCCGCGACGAAAAACGCTTCTCGGCGGAGGAAGGAGCGGACTGTCCCTCTCTGCGGACAGGACAAGGAGGTTTGCCGAACCGAACGGAACGCTAAGTAGCATATGGGAGGTCTTGGCTGCGAGGAGTCACCTTTATGCTATGCCGGGAGTTGCCTCCCCCGCGTTGCTCCCCGCAGCGACATCGGCCTCTCTCACGGGACACCGACGCGACACTACGATTCGACTCGAGCTAACGCGATACCCTCTTTTCTTCCCCCTCCCCCGTTTTGCTTCTCATCATTGAGCCATTCGAGGATCCTCATCCTCGATCCAGAATCCTGGAACGCGAGTTTCTTTTCTAATTGAAAACGAGAAGCGAAACGGGAAAATTGCTTTTCGAAATTCTTAACAAACGAGTTCTTTTGTATTTTTGGCACGAAAATTTTGCGTCTTTTTAAAGATTAAGAAAGATTAAGAAGAAAAAGAAGTAGATAGAAGAGGAAGGGGAGAAAGATTGGCGAGGTAGATCGATTATGTAGGATGATGGCGTTGCGCGGGGCGACGGAACGAAACCCATGAGGAACGAGATGATGATGATGGCACCGTGGGGCTATTAAAAAAAGCTCGCGCTTCCTAAATTCCGTGGATTCGTGAGTGGCGAGTCATGTGGCCACTCACAGAGATATTTAGATGTCGCGAATCGGTTGTTTTCCCACCGGAGGACGATGACGGATCTCAGCGAGGGTGTCAGCGTATATTTTCGCCTCCGGGATCTCGACAACATCAAGCACTGCTCTCGACCTTGCTCTTTTTGTTGCATTATTCGTACATGAGCGCAAGACGAAACGGGGACGAGCCAAAGAATAGTTGTAATGTACAAAATTGGCTAGTGCCAGTTGGCCAGTACGACGTGTCTTTCATTAAGGAATTCACGCGTCAAAAATTTGGAGAAGGGAATTGCCGATCGTTTTATCTCGTCTTATCAAATATATTCCGTTCGTATCATCTTACATCGTCGCAAAGAGAAATAAGCGGAACCGATTCCATTACCTAGCGAGATAATTTTTAAGAAAAAAATTTCCTCTGTTCTATTAGCGTGAATAATTGAGGAATAATTTAATAAACCGCGTAATGAGGGTTAACGAGCATAATCGGATGGAACACGGTGAAGTACGTGGACTAGTTTTTTAGGTAACCAGTTGATGTTTTTTAAAAAGTCATTGTACGTTTATTTGTCATACCAATACACGGTGCATGTAGGAACATCGAAATGATACTTTGTTGTTTACGCGGCGCAATAAAATAGCTTGAATGTATCTATAAATCTGTTCGATTGGTCCGTTGGATCGAACAAGACCAAAATTCTTCATCTTCTTTACGTTATTGTTTAGACGCAGGCACACTGGGTAATTTGAATAATTTCCCTCTTCGATCCACGACGAGTCCTGAAACAAACGAATGAATGGGTAATTGCATTTTTATCATCGACTATCAACATCCAAATACCTGTACTCGTGAACTTTGAATCTGGCGGGTGTGCAAGTGTGCTGCTTCGAGTACAGGCCCGCCAAGCATCTCGATGGCTCTCTTTTGTCTCTCAAAAGACACATTTCCGTCTCGTTTCCTGGACACGTCCCAACGCATTGGCCCACGTTAATTTGCTGTTTTGCATACGAATACGAGGATATCAATGATAAATTATGATGCAAAATGCAATCAGAGTGGAAAATTGTGCGATAGGGAAATTTTTTACCCGAACGACCGGCCTCACATCTGTTGTATTCGTACCGTCCTTTATTTCGACTTCGCTGAAATCTAGAACGGTCTCCATGTGGTCCATTTTGTGGCACGTCCCAGCGCAACCACATTTCTCGATCACCTGATACACTTCGTCTCCTAAAATTTAACACGATTATTGGTATTCGTCTGAGTCGAGATACACATCGATATTATCGATAAAGAAGAGTAAATTTCACATACCATTCGGTCCTTTTATGCTAACCGTACTGTTCCTCACCGGTTTGCATCCAAGATCTTTCAAAAGATTGATAGATCGACGATTATCGATTATCAACGAGAACGAGATACCGAGTAAAAGAAGATAAGATACCTTTTGCACAGTGGCCCATGCACACACCGACATCCATCACGGCTTGATGAGGAGTGCCAGAATGCACGAGATGCGTGAAAGATTCCCGCCTACAAGAGGAATCCGACGTGCACTCGCAGGCTTCCGTCACTTCGATCACGCGAACCCCTTGAATCGTTGACACCCTCTCTAGCTTCGATGCCTTTGGACGGCAATGTGATTCCGGGAAGCATCTCTGAAAGAGCGAAAAGCGCGATAAAAATCGGTTCCATTCGAAATATTTCCGATGTTTTTAGTCGAATCGGAATGAAATGTTGCCGGCGGTAAGGAAGGATAACTTCTATGGAATATACGTCCATATATCAGACAGGGAAGAACGTTTTATCGATACAGATGTTGGACGAGCAAAGCGAGCACGCGACTTCACAGAATTCACGGTATTTTATTTATCGTCGTTTCGTTTGCCAAAGAAGAAAGTATCAATGATAGCCTACGAAGGTGTATTTATAATATTCGCGCCCCTCGTTATCTCCCTCGTTATCTCCCCGTCTTCGAACATTTTCTTTGGCACTCGATTTCTTTCACGACACGCGGGCCATTTAATTATTCTCGCTGCGGGATAACACCGACCGTTATCTTTGTCCGTGCATAAACGCATCACGGTCCTCTCCTTCCTCTTTTTATCCTCTCTCCCCTCCCCCGGTGATATTTCTGGCTAAGAATATTTTCTAATAAATTTTATTCTCAGGTACATCCATCCTCGAGATCCCAGGAACACGATTCCTGGATGTAGTAGGTGGCCAAGCTGGCGCCGGAGCGGTGACCCGGCACGATACGACCTTCCAAGGACGCAAAACACATCCTCCTCTTTCTCCATATCGCGTGCAACATTTTTACTTCTCGGGCCTGTTTCCCTCCTGCAGCGTGGGTGCTGCAAGATCGTAAACCACCGATCGGATTGTATCACGTAACAAAAATAGCTTTCTCCCTAGCGAACAGCCAAGAAGGGACTCGAATTATTCGCGAGTTGTACGTTTGTCTATACACCGTATTTAATTAAATTCTATCTGGTAATAGGTTTTCAACGTGATCGTTTTCGAACAACGAGGCGAGGGAACAATTGCGACGTACATCGAATACCGTTTTCGAAACGAAGTGGAAATAACGCGTGGACAATAATCTAGCCTTCTAGGGATGATTTGTCGATGATTTTTGGTTGTAATAAAATTTAAAAGTATAAAAGAAGGAATAAAAGGGACACGATCATCGTCGAGGATACGCAGTTCTCGATACTGGGGTATGGGGTGCACTCGCCGTAAAAGTCGCGAAGATCGTACGATCGCGCGATGCTGGCGTGGCCGCATTCCAGCTGGCGGATTGGTCGATCCCATGAGTCATAAATCTACATGACGTCCCCGTCTTTTTCGCCCTTCGTATAGCCCTTGGCATACGTAACCTGCCGTGGCAACGTATATCGCGGTAATTTTTTTTTTTCTTTTTTTTTTTTTTATTTGCAAATTCGGTCTTTTCGCTTCGTGCTTTTTTTTCTCCTCGACACGCTGCCCTACCACCAGACAGAATTCCTCGACGTCCGATCTCGGTTTTTCGAACGTAGAAAACGTTCATTCGCTATCTATAGGTACTTCGATACTTTCGAGTGTCCTTTTTTTTTTCTTTCTTTCTTTCTTTTTTTCAAATGATTTTGCGAGTTCTGGAATTGTTGTTTGAGTTCTGGAATCTTCCTTTTTTTAATCGTAAAATAAACGCGACTATGATGTTGAATTTTAAAAGATTCCGGGTCGAGGAATTCGACGGTTTCACGACCGGTTCGATAAACTCTGTTGAGTGGCGATGAGTTTTTGTTGTAAACCCGATGCACGAGGGCGGGGCATAACCAAAAAGTTCTTGCATCAGGTGCACATCCTGCGGCCATGAGTCACGGATTATATCCATCCATATATCTTGGTATCTCCCTTGCGCTCCTCTTCGAATCGAAATTTTAACAGAGATAAAAGCGTATGACTAAAGATTTACCTGGACGGTGGGCCGACTCGCGTCTCCTGGATCGTCCAACACGTGTCGCGGACACAATTTACGACAATGGCCTGCATCAATTTGGATAATTTCACCCGATATTCCTGAGGAAATAAAAATAAAAAGAAAAAAAGATCGAGAGAGAAAAGAAGAATTAGTATTAGCGATAAAAGCGAAGGGAGCGGGGTGGTTCAATGAAATTTCAATAGGAGCTGTGGATGGATTGGATTGTTGACTGTGCGGGCCGTGGCGTTCGTTCGCGAAAAATGAGACGCGTGTAAATCCGATGGCGCCGCTCGGCAATGCTCGCGATCACCGTACAAAATTTACGACTTGTATCACATTAAACGTTGACAAGATATAAGAAGAGGGTAGAACCGTCTGTGTAGTGTAACCGTGCTATTTTTGGCGCGAACGCGTGGGACATGGAATGCGCTGATTCCTCGGTGATTCACATTACCCTGGACCTTCGGCTACGTCTCTGCCATTTTTCCGCGTTTCTTCCTATAAATGGTATTATCACGAGATCTACTAGAAATACCAACGTAAACGCCTAGATTTCCAATTATTATTTCTGTCGCTAGATCATCAGTATAACATCAGAAAGATATTGCGATGATAGTGTAAACGCGATCGATATAACATCATACCAATCGATCGACGATCGTTTAATTGACAATTGATCGCGACACGAAGGGTGGTGGATTCTTCAGTTGGTTCGACGAAATCGTTAATTATTCGTTTGTAAGGGGCATTAACGTAATCTCTACATTGTCATTCTACTCGTTCTGTCGATTATCTCCGATCTATAGGCGGATCAATTGATCCCCCCCTTACAGTACAGACAAAATAATGGGATTGAATCGCGAATTCAATCGTTCCCGCGTTATTTTAAAGCGATAACTCGCAATGATAAATCGGTCAAATCTTTTGATCACGGGCACACGACAACACCGCCACCGGATGCTTCATCCTCTCGATCGGCGTCAATTAATTGTGAACACCCGATATTAATTTACCGGATCGGATCTAGCGACAAGGCCACCCGCATTTACTACTCATGAATATGGGGCGGCAACAGTGAATCGAGGGAACATAATTTACATTTAGCCAGTTGCTAAAATTACGCAACTTCTGGCCGAATCTCTCTCTTTCTCTCCCTCTCTCTCAACGATATATCGTACTCCAGTACTCCATTCATCTCTATTCATATATTATATCCTGATTTCTCTCTTCCAATATCTTTTGTTTTATATTTGCTTACCGTATCCAACATCGATCATTCTCTCATGTCTTGCACAGCATACGTGTTGTCGAACCTCTTCCCTGTGCGTTCTACTCTCGTTGCCTTCATTTTCGTCACCGATCGCTGAAACAAAAACAACCCCAAAAAACGATAACGAACAAAGATCATGATTTATTCGATATATTATGTTATTCTTTATATTATTCAATATGTAATTATTCCCTTACATGATGATAAATATAATATATATATAAGTTAATCAAAAGATAAAATGATAGTTGAAGTGACGCGGAAATTGGAGAAAAAGAAGTAAGAACATAGCGGATGAATGAGGAAGAAAAAGTGCGATGCGATGCCTACCTAATCGCAAATTGGCGAGGCAAACTAAGGTGAAGCCACCGAATACGGCCCACCGACTTCTCGTGATTTGTATTCGCATCGGTACGAATAGCGATGAACGTAAATCGGTCGAATACGATTTATCGTGGCGTAAATGTAGATTTGAAAACAAGTTTGTGTATCGAGAATGCACGGATTGTTTACCGTTTAAATAATACGTATAGCGTTTACTGATATTCTCTAAACGTAGATGTCTATAACGAAAAAGACAAAATGCATCAACGCGTGGACGAAATCCTGTTAATTTGTCACAATGATTATTATTTCATTAATCTATGTATGTTCGCGCGCGGATGACTAGAAGATTCGTGGTATAAGGAATACTCTTGGACTCGCACGCACACGACATGCAAAGCGGTAGTCCAGAGAGGACGCACCGTGCGATCGATCACGATCGGTTGTTGCCCACGCAGGTTGCGATCTGCGAGAAGACTGGCCGTCTGGAAGCCGCTGGATCTCGCTCAGACGGAGAGGCGTCCGGCTGACAGGCGGATCTCTATTAATCTCGTTTGGTACAGGAACGTCGGCCCGCTTCGTGACGGCTGGTCCATCCATCGGTCTTTTGCCTCTTGCCTGCCGCAATCGCTGATGCGGCTGGTGATGCTGATTTTATGCTCCATCGAATCTGATTCATCTCGTCTGGCTGCAAACCTCCGACATTCCACATATCCAATTTTCCTTTATCTTATATAATAAGCATTCCATGATTTTCAACAAATCTAATTTAAAAAATAATGTTAATAAAATAGATTAGCTATTTCACAAATTAAAATAGATTTTGAATTATTTGTTATTCTGACTTTTAGATTAAATTGATTAATCTTTCTTGATAATCTGTCTCGCAATATCTCATTTTTTTTTTTTTTATCTTTTATATTCTTATAAAATTTTGTAAATCCCAATGTTAAAACGTAATACTCTAAATTTGGAAATAAAAGAAAAAAATTTAAAAAAGGAAGAATAATATATCGTTCTTGTTTCGTATGTTTTTGCCAGAGTACAAAGTAAGTTTATCATTTAAGCTCGGTATACGAGCGACGTTATTGTGATTTCTTTCTACGATTAGACAGATTTATGGTTTTAATGATGTAATGGTCACAATCGTGCGATCTTACTACGAAAACTACGAAAAGCGGCGAACTGTTGCGAGTTCGAAACAGTGTCCCGTTGCTCATATGCATATATATATTATATATATGTTATACTTATGCGAAATAAATACACATGGAATAGGAGGAAAGAGAGAAGAGAAATTACATTTTTTTTACATTCTTATATTTTATTTAAAAATCTTCATGAATTTTTCCCTAAATTTGAAATTTTTTTTTTATTATTTATCAGTTTTCTTTTTTATCCTTTATAGTTATTGATAAACTAATTCATAAAATTTAAAAGTATAATCTAACATTGTTTAGCTATTCTTAAAAAAATCGTTAGAAATTTTAATAAATTTCTTTTAAAATAATTTCTTTTTATTAATAAATAGTAAATATTTTATTTAATATTTATTGAAATAATTAACATCATAATTAATTGGGTATCTCTACTACTATTAAATATTAAATACTATTAAATATTCTATTATGTAGTTTAAATATTATTTTGTTATATTATTATAATCACGTAATATTTTAAAAACTTATTATTTTAGTGTCGTGTTCGTATTGCTAACACGTGCATCGTAGATTTGAGATATTTGATTAGAAATATTTTCATAGAATTTTATAATTTACATCTATTTCGATATTAAAAATTACGAATTAAGAACGTTTATATACATTCATATATATTTAAAAAAAACGTATGTTTTTTATTTAATCTATGATATTTTCATATCATTTATAGGTTATGTCTTTTCAATTAAATATCTATTTATTATGTATTAAAAAATTATGTCACGAATTATAACAGAATAAAGACTTTTCATAAATTTAATCTCACCAATTATTTTTATTTTTTCAGAATGACTTCAAAGGTAAAAGAAAGTGGGAGAAAAAGTCTTTCTTCTTGGATGACATGTGAAATATGTCAGAGTATTTTATCACAAAAAGATTTAGCAATACATCACATTAATTGTCCACCTAATTTTGAAATCTGGAATCACGATTTCATTTATAATAATATATTATATAGTACTGTAGAAACATATAATCTATTAGGTATATATATGTATAGATTTTATATTTATTATTATTGTATCTTTTTTTATATAAATGTTTCTTGCATAGAACAGCCAAAAAATATACATATAAGGGCGTTTGATGATATGGTATTTATATCACAATCTGCTTTGCAATTGTGTGAAATTGCAATAGGAGATTCTGTCCTTGTAACTGTTGGAGAAAACAAAGTTGTTAAAACTGCATGGCCAACTAAAGATAAAAGTTTAACGAGTGTTTCAATAACAAAACATGGTAATAACAAAATATTTTTTATTGAACATATTATTTCCAATAGTTTTTTATTATTATATATTTCTTATAGCAATAGAATTAAATGATCTCAGAGGTTTAGTCAAGATCCAAAAATTAGATTGTTTTATTAATGGTGCTAAGGAATTTATAATTTGTAATATTGGAAAACATATATTGCCAGAAGTAACTATAGAACTTAACATAATACTTAAAAATTATAATGAACAAAAAATATTTGCTGTAGGTAATAAATTCAGTATACCTTTTTATGGCAAGAAATTAATTTATAAAATTATCAAAATTATATCGGATAATGGTAGAGAAAATATTAATTTGCCTCAACAGTTTAAGCAATTGAATTTTGCTGATCAAATACATGATATCAAATTTTATAAAGCATTTTATAATACAAAATGGACAATTTTAAATGAAGAACAAAATAAGAAACAAGAAGAATACAAGAAAATTAAATATAAAATACAAGATATTGGAGGATATGACAAAGTAATAGAAGATATCAAAGATGTTCTTGATATTGGTCTTGGTAAATCTCAAAATCTTGGTGATTTTTATATTAGTAAAGGAATATTATTATATGGTACTGCTGGTGTCGGTAAATCAATTATTTCTAATGCTTTAATATCAGAATATGACATCAATTCCGTCACTATTTACAGTTCAGATATATACAGTAAATCTCTAGGAGAAACAGAAAAAAAATTGCAAGATATTTTCATGGAAGCCAAAGCTAAAGCTCCAAGTATTATTTTGATAGAGGAAATTGATAGTTTATGTCCTAAACGAAGTACTTCAAGTACAGATCATGAAAGAAGAGTACTTTCACAATTGATTACACTTTTTGATGACATACAAAATACAAATAATAATGTAGTCATACTTGCTACAACTTCAAAGTTAGATCTTGTAGATAGTTCTCTTAGAAGACCTGGTAGAATAGACAAAGAATTCGAAATTTATGTACCTACTCCCAATATGCGCGCGGATATATTTAAAAAAATGTTATCAAAAATACCAAATACTTTATCTTTAGAAGATATACAAAATATTGCATTTGTCACTCATGGTTTTGTTGGCGCCGACTTATACGGTTTATGTTCTCAAGCAATTTTAAATGTTGTAAAGCGTCAACCGAAAACAAATATTGCTACTGATTTTTCGATCAAAGTAACTTTATCAGATTTTAATCGTGCTTTGACTGTTATAAAACCATCAGCTATGAAAGAAGTTTTAATAGAAGTACCAAATGTTCGATGGTCAGATATAGGAGGACAAAAAGACTTAAAATTAAAATTAAAACAAGCTATTGAATGGCCATTATGTCATCCTGAAGTATTTTTCAGAATGGGTATAACTCCACCTAAAGGTGTTTTGATGTTTGGACCACCAGGTTGTTCTAAAACAATGGTTGCAAAAGCTCTTGCAACAGAAAGCAAAGTAAATTTTTTAAATATAAAGGTAAAGTTTGATTTAAAAATCATTATCTTAATTCTAAAAAAAAAATGATAAATTCAATATTTTTAGGGACCAGAATTATTTTCAAAATGGGTTGGTGAATCTGAAAAAGCTGTAAGAGAAGTATTTCGAAAAGCAAGACAAGTTTCACCTTCCATAATATTTATTGATGAAATTGATGCATTAGGAGGAGAACGAAGTTCTTCCGTAACTGCGGGAAGTAATGTACAAGAACGTGTTTTAGCACAATTATTAACAGAACTCGATGGCGTCACTGCATTGGGCAGTGTTACTTTAGTAGCAGCAACTAATCGACCTGATAAAATTGATAAAGTTAGCTACATTATAATAAATAATTAAATTTTATACAAATAATTTTTTATTAATTAAAATATTGTTTTTTTATAGGCACTTCTTCGACCAGGTCGTTTAGATAGGATAATATACGTGCCATTACCTGATTATGAAACAAGACAAGAAATTTTTGATATAAAATTAAGAAATATGCCAATCGCGGAAGATGTACAAATTCAAGATCTAGTAGATCTTACAGAAGGATATTCTGGAGCAGAAATCCAAGCAATTTGTCATGAAGCTGCTATCAAAGCACTTGAGGAAGATTTAAATGCTACTATAATTACTAAAGAACATTTTAAAGCAGCATTGGCCATAATTACTCCTAGAACTCCACCATCTTTAATAAATTTATATAATGATTATATAAATAAAATATATTGACATTACAAACAATTTCTTTCAATATAATTGAATTTGTCTATTTTAGCAAGATTATTAATTATCTATCAATATTCTTCTATTATTTTAATATCAAACTTCAGGTTTTCGGAAATTAACAAAATTTATAAGTTGTATAATTATATTATCAAATGTCAGTAATCGTAAAATGTATACGACCTTATGGTAAAAAAGATTTAAAACAGATGATTGAAAGGTATGATAATTTTATACTTGATAAATACAATGCATGATTATTTTAATATATTATTATTTATATATATATATATATATATATATATATATATATGTATATGTACATATATATATATATGTATATATATGTGTAGTTGCGGTTGCTGCCCACCAATGGATCCACAATGTCCACCATTAAACTCTACGCCATGTCCACCTCAACCAATTTGTACTTATACATGTTCTCCTCCAATCAAATTGGAACCAAATAATTGTTGCCCATCTATGCCAATTACCAGTATGCCATGTCCTTCTGAACCGCCACTTTTACCTTGCGCCCCACGTTCTTTCGTTTGCCCGCCCTGCACAGGTCGTCCATGTATTACTTGCGCACCTTTACCTAAGCCAGTTCCTGCTCCTTTTGAAGTCGGACCTGTTTATAGAGCACCAGTTACTACTGGTGGATTATTCTATATGGGAACAATTAGATGTTATCCTTGCTTATCATATGCTTGTTGAATTATACAAACTTCTATCATATGTCTGTTATATAATAAATCCATAAAGAAAATATTTATCATTTAGATTTAATATTGTTTAATTTGGATTTTTAATTAATTATAAATATTTGTACACATTTTACATTCAAATATAAAACAAATGTCGTTATTATATATTGTTTTTTTCGTTCAAAATGGCTGTTTCGTTCGATTAATTTTTTATATTTAATTATATTCAATTAATTTTTATATTTGAAAAATTCTTGTTTATATTTACATTTATAAATAAACAAATTGCAGAATGGAATATTATAATTCCAAAAAAATATGCGATTTTTGTCCATTATTTCATTTTGATAGACCCAGTTGTACAATAACAACATGTAATTTGCCCTTATTAAATATTGAAAAATATAGAACTAATCAACCATATCATCCAAAAATAGAATCAATTAAGGCTGTCAGGTAAGAATTTAATAATAATTTATTAAATCTTAACATAATACAAATTTTCATAATAATTTAAAATTTTAAAACGTTTGCTCGTTTACTAACATACTTTAATTATATATTGGAGATTTAAACAACCTGTGAATTCGCCTCAATATTGTGGTGAATGGACAAATTTAATGTACCGTCCTATTATACAAGGAGGTTTTAGTTATCGAGGAGTATATAAATTATTTCCTATAGATATTCCACCAAATTCTCCTGTATTATGTCGACCTACTCCTATTCCACCTACCGATTTTCGAGGAATAACTGTATATTGTCGTCCATAATGTGGCAATGTATTTAATTTATTTATTTAATTTAAATTTAAATTAAATAAATTTAAAGTATTTATTAATAAATTGGTTCGTTTCTGTATGATATATACATATATATATATATATGCGTATATGTATAAAAAGTGAGGTTATATGTTTATATTATAATTAGAATTAAAAATAAGTTAGATTTAAAATAAGTAATTAGCATGGATGCAATATGGAATCACATAGAATTAGAACGACCTCCAAATGCAACTTGTCAAATTGACAATAAAATATTTGGTAAGTTTAATTTTATTTTTATTTAAAATAGAAGAAAATTTAAGAAATATGAATTTAACAAATATTTTATTTAATGAATGAAAATAATTTTTTGTTATTATTAGATGCAAAAAAATTTTTATTGGTGTTAAATAGAATTATAAAGGACTTAACTTCTCAAGAATTATTGCATAAAGAAGCAGCAATTTTAAGTAGATTGCTTTATCGTATGAAAACTAAATTTCGAAATGACAAAGGTGTCAAATCAATGTCTAAAGTAAATAAAGCTTTGCTTAAATATTTATCATTATCACTTGAAAAGGAATATGAGAAATTAAAGAATAATGTTGAAATAAATGAAAAGTGTGTTACATTACCTAGCAAACAAATGGTAGAATATGTTTTGATTAGAACACAAAGTTTTACAAAAATTATGCTACGAGTGGAAGAAATTTCTAAATATACTGCACATTTTCTTAAATGTAGAATAAATTTAGGTCATGCTTGGTCTATTGCTCTTATTGCATATGCTGTTATTAGTAGAATTTGGTATGTTATTTTTATAATATGTAATAAACTAATGAATTGATTCATTGAACATTAATATGTATTATCATAGGATTTTATCAAGATATTTAATTAAAAAAGCATGTACATGGTATAATGATTTATATCATTATCTAAATTTATTAAAAATTGTTGGATTACATTGGCTCACTAAAAAATATGAACTTACAAATGATTTAAAATCATGGTTATCAATACCATGGGTGGATGAACCAATTCCAAGGTAAAAAAAAAAAAAAAAAATTAGTATAATAAATCTATATAAAAATTAATTTATATTTCCAGTATTCCCAATGATTATGGGTTAAAAACTACAATGTTTAAATTAATCACTCCTTGCGAATATGATTCAGATGAAGATCTAATTTGTAATACACAAGATTATAACAAAGAAGTAAAATCTGAAAATATATTTTCATTGACAAAAAATGAAAATATTGTACATAATTTAATTACAAATGAAAACAAAAATATTATTTTTAATGATGATATAGGAGGTAATAAAATTATAAGCCAACAATTATATAATAAAAATATTTACATACAAAAATATAATTATAACTTACTACAACTTATTTTGTTTTATAGAAATTATAGATCGCCATGATTTTAATTTAAGATGTATTCAAAATACATCAATGAATATTAAAAAAGAAAACGAGAAATTCAGTAAAACAGAAGAAAACAAAATATATGATGAAAATAATCAAGAATTTTATATCAGGAATATAGCAAACGAATTTATAATCAGAGAAAAAGATATAAATACTAAAATAGAATTAAAAAATTTGACAAAAAAAAAAAGTTTAAAAAAATTACTTACTTTTCATGATGTTAATAATAAATCGGATTTAATTGTACTTTTAAACAAAGAATCATATCCTGGTTTGGATAAATTACGATGGAATATGATTAGAAATAAAAGCAAAAAATTACTAGATAAAATAGATGTTTGTTCTAATGAAACAAAACAAATCTATTTATTTAAAAAAATATTGAAACGCATAAAAAAGTGGATTGTATAAATAAATTCAGTCTGTATAAAAATTAGATTAAAAGAAAGATATAAAAATAAATATCATATTTTTGATTAAAAATATTTTATTTAATTCTTTATTTCTCTAATAGTTTCGAAAAATAATAACAAAAAACATATTTAAAATATTGAATACATTTATTGTATTGTATTTCGTAATATTGTAATATTTTTCTAATTGATATTGAAATAATTATAATTAATTTTAAAGATTAAGTTATGTTGAAGAAATTAAATTATAAAACTTGTAAAATATTTTTATAAATTTTTTATTTTTATTTTTATTTTTTTTCTACTATTAAAATATCTCTATTAATTAAATTTGTTCATAACTTACAAACAAAAAAGAATCAAATTTATTGTCTTGATATCACAAATGATAGAAAACGATAGAATCACAAATGTATATATATATATATATATATATATATATATTACAATATATATATTATTCCAAAGAATGCCATTCATAAAACCATGGGGAGAAGTAAATAAACGTAAGTATAACAAATAAATTTGGATAAAACATCATATATATTATACTGATCACTTGCATTTTTTTATAAGACATGTATATATTATATTAATATATATATATTAATTTATATACACATATCAATCTTATTTATATATATATATATATAAATTAGGTAATTTGCAGAAAATATATATAGAATATATATTTATATATTTTTTTATATGTTTTATTATATATTTGTGTTATGTCTTTTTTATATATTTTTAAATTCTTATTCTCTTTTATATATCTTTTGTATAGTTTTATTAATATAATATCTAAGAAAGATAATATAAATATGATCATCTAATATTATTATCTTTATTTATATCAGAATTATCATTCATAGAGAAAAATTTTAGATAAAAGTCAAATAATTTGAGAATCATATTCTGATGTCAATGATTTTTTCGAATGAGAACACATAAAAAACTTATGAAATCAACTTTATTTTTTAAATGATTATTATTAGTTTACAAGATATTTAATAATAATAGTTTTTAGTTCTATATATTTAATAATAGTAAAACTAATAGTTTTTGGTTTTATGTGACTAATAGTTTTTTTTATAAAGAATAATTTGTTGTATTTATTTATATTAAAAAAATTATAATTCTATTTAAAAAAATAAAATTAATCTTCATATCTTTGTTTATTGACGAAATGTCTTCCGTATATATTGCAAAATTAAAATATTTATAATTACAATTAAAAATAATTCTCGATTATATATATATATATATATACATACATATATTATTTGATATAGTATATTATAGTAAAATACATATAAAATGACAAAATAATATTAATGACAATAATATTAATATAAATAACAAAATATATATTCAATAATTAGTATATTAAGTATTGTATATTGATATTCAGATACAACTATATTGTGTATCGGTGCGATTTCATCTTGACTTTTAATTCGAAATCCAAATTGTTTTTTCTTCATATTATTAAAGCAACAAGGAAATTGTTGAGTTTCACATATATTGACATTGGTCACAGGATAAAGTTTTTCCAAAGATCCATAATACGTATACTACAGATATAAGAAATATATTTATTTTCCAATTTTTCTAATTTTTATATTTTAATCGAATTAAAATAATTTATTAAAAGATATTTAAATCTATTTAAAACGTTATTAAAAATTTTTACTCAAAAATGTATGAAAAATTCATTATGATGTCATGAATAATATATTTATCGCCTATATTTATCGAATATCAAAAATAAATAAAAATAATTGTAAATTATTGCATTTACATCGAATGTAAGATAATGCATACTTCGACTAAAACTTTTTTTTTTTATTTATATTTAGTAGTTATTTTGAACTCTTTTTTTTTTTTAAAGAAAAATTGTTAAATTCCTTTTTTTATTGATTTTTTATTTGTCAACATAATCAATAATAAATGCAATTATTTTCTAATTCAATTTTTAATTTTAATTATATCTATTTTATAATTTTTTGAAAAAGTTTAAAAATTTTTTGAAAATTATTTCAAATGTTCGGAATATTAAAATATTTATATTTGTAATAAATATTAAAATTTATTTATTGTTATAAAAATTAAAATTTTACTTATATATAAGAACATTATAATAGCGCAATTCATTTTCTGATTTGATATTTCATTGTTAAATAACAAAGAATATATATACAAAATTAATTTCATAAACAAAAATGGAATTTTTAATATCTATAGTTAAATTTAAAAAAAATTATAATAAAATAATACATGTATAATACTTAAAATTTGTATTATATTAAAAAATATAAAAAGAATTTTAGATTTATATAATACAATTTAAAGATCTAATTTTAAAGATGTCAACTTACAAATTCTTTTCTGATGAGCACTGAACAGTAAATAATAATCTTGCTGCGAATCGTTGAAGATACATCTCCTCATCAAATCCTATTTCCTCCTTAATTCTTAATTCATATATTTAATTACATTTTCTACTTTAATATGATATTTAAAAAGATTTCTGATTCGAAATGGTGCTATAATTAGAATTCATTATATATTGATACAGATTTATCAAAATTAGTTAATTTATATTCAGTACATAATATATATATATTATAATATAAGATTTAATGATATAAATATACATTCAGTTTAATATATAGTAATTGCGAACTTTTCTTTATATTTTTGTTATATTTCCGACATGTATTTATTTATTTTAATAATAACACTATATAGAAAATAATAATAATACTATCAATTCGATAGTTTGATGCAATATTCGTTCGTGATAGCATTTGTGCTGAAAATAAAAAAAATAATTACAAATATTTCTATATTCATCTTTTCCTTTAATTTGTATTTTTATTGAAACGATTCAAACTGGGATAATAAATGATTTTTTTTCTGCGCTTATAATCCGTATATGGTATAGAAATTTCACACTCCAAAAGTAATGGTTCTAGAGGATTTTTTATGATTGCACTGCGTTTTGCAGAAAGAATAGTCTTATATTCCAATATTTTTACAGTTTTATCATAATAATTATTTACTTCAATTCCTTCTATATAAATTTTTAGTATTGGTCGTGGCTGTGCTCCGTTTGCTATACATGTTAAATTTAAATGATTTTTATTGAAAGAAGAAACATGAATAATTATATCAGTTTCAGGCACTGTAATATGATATCAATAATTTTGCATTATTATGATACAAATTAATCAAATATTATTATAATTATTATAATACTTATAATTATAAACTTACCATAAACAATCATTTTTGTTCTTTTCATATCTTTTTCTTGAAATGTGCTAATTGTACAAGTATATTGTCCACTCATTTCAACAATGGCCATTTTTAAATGTATGATAGATCTTGAATTAAAATATCTTAAATTTTGTTCAGAATATTCGGTAAATCCATTTATTACTCCTGTATCTTGAGGTGGCACTATAATAACAAAAAAAAAATATATCATATATTGTACAAAATTATACAATTCAAAAAATTATATTTAAAATTACTTGGTGGTATCCATTGATAAATTTGGTCAATATTATGATACCATTTTATTATGAGACCGTTTTCTTTATCTTTGATATTATAAATACAGGAAAGGTCAATTGGTCCCGTTCCATTACGGACAACGAGTGGAACGTCTAAAGTGTAAATTTTTGAAGCATATATATCTAAAAAGCAATCATAATTAATACTATTTGAATTTATTAATAATAGTTTTTAAATTCAAACATTGTATTTAATAATATAAAATTTAAGAATGTTGTTACCTGAAATGGGAATTTTTATTAATGTAATAATAAAAAATAAAACGCTATATGTAACTAACGACATTTTCTACAAAGATTAGTTTTCAGACTGATGAACAATTAAACATGCTTCGTTAAACTTAATCAAGCTCAGATGAACTTTCTGCGCAGATACCGATTATTTTGTTTATTATTATATTATTAAAATAAATTTATATTTAAAAGAAAAATACTAACGTACTATTAATTTATTTAAAATATTTATAAAAATTTATGTGTAAACATATCTTTTATTGAAGTTTTTTTTATTTCATATTCCATTATAATACTTTTTAGCTATTTTTTGAATTTTTTAAAACGGTCTTCTTAATTGATAATCTTTCCAAGAGATGGCAGTTGAACTTCTGTTAAGTTCCAGTTGAAAATTTCTATCAAGTATGTTTGCTCTATAGAAAGTATACTTATTTAATATTTTTATTTTATAAAATATTGTATATAATAAATAATAGATGCACTAAAATTTATACATATATATTTTTATTTATTATTAATATAATTAAAATATATAAATAATAAAATTAATTTTTAATATCTTGATTTAATTTCTTTTTTAATGAAAAGTTCGTATAACCATCTAAATGATTATTGCTAATTTATGGCTAATAGAAGTATCATCTTTAACGTTTTTATCATTTAAATAGTGTGTACAGAACAATCAGTGACAATTTTTTACTGACGTTTATTGTTTATTGTTTATTCTTAAACTCAAAAATAATTAATAATGAATGACGATCCTCGAGAAATACTTGTTCTTCTTAATTCTTTAGGATTTGTTGGAATTACTGCTCAACAACTTAAAGCATTTATGAAAGGTAATAATTATTATTTTTTTTTATCGATCATTGATATTTAAATATTTTATAAATACTGTATCTAATATATATATTTTGATTTATATTTTTTTTTGTATTAAGATTTAAAGTTATATAGAAAGATAAAAGACCGTGAAAGACAACAAAAAAAAGAAGAAATTAAAAAAAAAATAATAAATAAGCAAAAAAATATGATTAAAGAAATTCTTAGAGAACAAAAAACAGAGTTTCATTCTGTTGAAAATACTGTATCAACTAATTCTTCTAGTTCTTATATTGATGACACCATTGTAAAAGTAAAGTTGACAAAATTGTCATGTGATAAAGAAAATAGAAATTCTATAAATTTCAAAGAAAATTATGCAAATACAAAACACAAAATGGATATTATACAATCAAAATCTATGAAAACACAAAATCATTCTAATGTTAAATCTGATGTTGTATCGGATAATGATGATGATAGATTTTATGTTAAAAATAAAAGTAGTTATGAAGAATGTTTAAAAAAAGATTTTCATATAGAAACGCATGATAAAACAAATATGCAACATGATAAAATATTAAATCAAAAAAAATTATTATCCCAACAATCTTTTCGTCCTATGAGTGCACCAAATATTTTAGAGCATCAACATTACAAATATGTTACAAGTAGTCAAACAAAAAGTACATCATCTACAAAAAACACTCATTCTGGAACAAAATCATGTAAGATTCTAACATGTATCATGTATCATGTTATATGTATAAATAAAATTTTATATCTTATTTAATATAGTTATTAGACCATGGAGATTACAACCAGAAGCTCAAAAAAGTAAATATATTGGAAAGACTGATCCTGTTATATTATATCAAAAATATCAACAAGAATGGAAACAAATGTCATTTCCTGGAGAAGCAAAACATGCAAATGTAAGATGGGCAATTCGTGAAAAAATGTTAGGTACAGATCCTCATCCAATAGTAAGGATTATTTTTATTCATTATATTATTTTATTCATTATATATTTTATATTAATATTTATCACTTTATGTTTAAACTTTGTTTAATGTTATTAATATTTACATTTGTAGCCTCTACCTAGAAAATCAACCAGTATGCCAACTTTGAAGAAGAAATAATTTTATTTGTAATTAGAATGTGAATTTTATCCTATGACAAATAATTAATGAAAATAATTATGATATAATTAAGATTGTTATAAGATTATATATTGTTATACGAAATAGATAAATTTTTATAAATAATAAATATATTTTACTTCTACATTTTTCAATTTTTATTATTGATTAAGTTTAAATTTTGCCATTACTTTACGAGAATCTGGTCTGTGCAAATGATATAATATTTTGTCTTCAATTAAACGTGCAGCTCTTTCAGTCAGAACTAAAGTATCATGTTTTAACATACTATAGACATTTAATCCTGGAAAATAAGTAAAGAAATAATGAATCTAAAAAAAAATTAAGAATATTAAAATTTATAAATATACATAATATATTTACCATATACAGGCATTAAATTTACATGTTTTATTTGATCTGTAGCTTCTGTGATGTTTATTGGCATGATATCATCAGTATCAACAAACAATACAGAAGGACCCCAATGTCTTTCTTCTATTAATTTTTCAATATATGATGGTTCATTTGATGGAATTTCTAAATCTTTAATAATATACAAATCATCTTGAGCTAATTTAACAGATAATGTAGATGTAAGTCCATTAACACGACTATAAAAGGGCAACATATAGAAATGAGTTGTAGGAGATCTGGGTCCATGTATAATACCACCACCTCTCCATAATGGAGAACGTATACTTCCATGACGTGCACGACCTAATCCTTTTTGTCGCCAAGGTTTTTTGCCACCACCTCTTACTTCTGAACGCACTTTTGTATGTGCATAAGACTAAAATAAAAAATTAATATATTTTATATTAATATGTAAAGTAATTATTATATTAATATATAATTAATTATAATTTTTTAATTTTCAATAGAAGCGATTAATAAAAATAATTACCACGAAACGATACATTCTTTGCCAATGCACATTTTGATGTATTATATCTATCCTAGGAGCTGTTCCATAAACATCAGGATGTAAACTTACAAGTCCTAACTTTTTTCTTTCAACAGTATCTAAATTTTCTAACCACACTTCTCGTGGTTTTTGATAAAAAAAATTTTCATCTGCATAATTTTTCTTAGAAATAATTGGACTAATTTTTTCCGTAATAGTCTTTGTACAATATGTTAATTCTTGATATGAACATGTTTGTAATTTTATAATAACTTTTCTAAGCATTAACATATTAATAAACAATTCCTCTCTAAATTCAATTAAATATATTACTTATAATATAATAATAACCTAGATTGCTTCTAAAAATTCTTGATTTGATGTGAGATGTCGCTAAAAGCGAAAATTTTATAGATGTCACTGAATATGAATTGTTTGTCTTAGCTAGTTTGTAGCAATTAATAATTTTAAAATTTGTTATTGTTAAAATTACTAGTATTAGAGATTAATAATTTAAGAATTTCATATTTCTTATTAAAAATAATATTATATATATTTTTTTAATTTATATTATTAATAAAATATGTATGGAAGAAAAGGTTTTCAACTTATATTAGAATTAGATTCATGTACTGATATATCACAATTTAATGTAGGTAATATATTAAATTAAAAATAATTATGGAATATTTTAGAAAAAAATTATTTTTTTTATAGGAGGCATTAGTTAAAGAAGTTTTAGAAGAGATGCAATCACTATATAATGCAAATATGGTAGATAGGTTTGTAAATATAAAATATAATAATATAAGAATTATTTATAAAATTCAAGAAGAAATTATTGATTAAACATATTTTTTTCAGTAATGCTATTAGAAACGATGATAATATGGCATTATTACCATCAGTACAGTTAAGACATATAGCATTAACAAGAAATAAAAGGTGTATCTTAGCATATATATATAATAGAATGAGAAAATTAAGAGAATTACGCTGGGAATTAGGAAGTATTTTACCACCAGAAATAAATTCCAATCTATTAAATGCTGAAATTCAATGGTTTCAATCATATAATAAATCTTTAGCTACATATATGAAATCTTTGGGAGAAGATTATGGATTTAATTTAACAACAAATATCTTACCTCCAAAAACTCCTTACGTAGAGGTAAATAAAATGAAAGTACAAACTTTATTATAAAAATGATTTAATATAAATAAAATATAATATTTTAGGTAAAATGTGTAATGGATTTTGGAAGATTAGAATTGGAAGATGGACAAGTAATTTTGTTAAAAAAGAATACATATCATTTATTACCAAGATCTATATGTGAACCATTAATACGACAAGGCATACTTGAACATAATAATATATAATAATTGTTATTTTTATGAAATATTAAAATAAAAATTATAAAATATATCTTGTACTTATACTATATATATATTATATATTTATATAATTTATTTATGAAATATATAAAATATTTGAATTCTTTATATAAAAGAAAATTCCATACAAAAGAAATTCTTATTAAGAATTATCCTTAAAAAATTTATAAGCCCGCATATTACTATTACTATCTATTTTCATTAGGAATTTCCTGTAAACTTGAATTCTATGTCGTAGCGCGCAGTTCGTTCAAAAAGAGCCACGTTGCAATACGTTGCATTGCATGTTACTCAAGTAAATTATTTGTCTAATTAAAACTTATATTTAATATATCAAATATAAGTTTTAATAAATTATATATATATATATATATATATATATATAAAATGTGTAATATAATTATAGTTTTTCCTCTGAATGCAGAAAACGTTACAAACAATTCACTATGGATCAAATCCATTCATCATATTTGCGAAAAAATCTCTAATAAGTAAGTAAACTTTTAAAAAATATTTTTTTTTATAAATTATTTATATTTTTTTCAAATTTTATCATAGTTTTTATGAATTTAAATATTTAATAAGTAGGTTATAGAAAAAAAATTTTCTTAAAAAATAAATAATTATTATAGTTTTTTAATTTATAAAAAAATATTTATAAAATATATCTTTAAATGATAAATTTACAAACATAGAAAATTATTGAAAAAATAAAATTATTTCAAATATATTAAAAAATTATCCAATGCTTTAGCTATTTCGCTTTTGAGTCATTGTATTTTTCTTGAATAGATCTTGAATAATTAAAGTATCATTATATATTTAACTTTATGAAATATAAATAAATAAGTAATTTTTAATCATTAAATGAAAAGAATATAAATAATTCGTGAAAATATTTATGAAAAAATTTAATTCTCAAACATTTTCAATTGTTTCTGGTCTTATAATTGAAAGTAAAATTGATATCGGAAAGTGAATCGTTAAAAAATTTTAATGCAGATACTCAAGCAATGATTCCGAATTATTTGATTTAAATTAGTGATAATTTATAGTTTACCGATAAAAAATAAAGAAAAAATATTATCTTATAAGCTAAAGATACAATACATGTTTTAAGCTTATCAAAAATCAGGTTTTCCCCAGATAACGGATTATAGACTGAATTTTGATTTATTCTTATTGTGAAAAAATTTGGTTAGAATTACGAAGTTATTGATAAATTTTTTATATGCTAATTCATAAATAAATTGAATACATATAATATCAAAATTTCAATAATCGTTTTACACAAATTACAAACAAAAAATTAAATATTTATGTAATGTTCTACTCATTAATAACGAATAATTATGTAATTTATTTATCATCAGATTAAAGATTAAAATTATTGTTTATAGGTATGTTTTTAACCTTCTTTCACTGTATAATCATCTCATTTACCTAACATGTTTCAATCATTTTCTTATTATAATCATTCTTGTATAATCATTTAAATTATAATATAATATATACATCGATTATAATCTGGAATTATAACTATGTAAGCTATCATATAATAATAATAATACGGATATGGATTTCTTTTGTTTTAATGATTGAATATATTGAATATCATTATCTTTGAGGAAAAACATATTTAATGACCATGAATAGGACCAAGGTTTGTTTTCAAAATTTCGAGATCACTGTATTAACTTATCTAATCGTTATATCGTAACGTATTAACTGTCGAGATTATCCGTAAATATCAGTAAAGTTTCCAAATCGGAAGTATCAATGGAATTCCCAATGAATTCTCATATAAATTATTCGAAAAGAAAGTAGAACAGTGAAAACTTCATTTCTCTATAGAAAGGTAGAAATGTGTTTGAAATAATCGTGACAAAGAAACACTTTCTCATCGAGCTTTAAATATTTGATAAAATGATAAAATTTAATTTAAATTCATAATAATCTATATATTTAAATAAAAATTCATTAATTAATTTGCATTCAATTTTAGATTAGAAATTTTTTTATGATCAATTAAAAACAAAAAAACATAAGAAATAGAAAAAATAAGATCGATTATAAAAAGAAAATAAATGATTTCATAGAAAATGCACAAGGTTAAAAAATTTCTTATGCTTTATTGAATATATTGTAAAAAATTTTAACATTGTATCTACTTTTTTAATTCTTCTTTAGATTTTTTAAAAAAATGAAATAATTTATCAAATATTTTTATGTAATAATTATTTGAGTCAAATAAAATGATAGATATAAATCAATAAATGAAAGATATTTATTAAGAGTTCTCAATTCAATTTTTTTATTCTAATTCATTATTTAAAGAATGCTAAGTTAAAATAAGTACGCAATGTATACGTGCAGTTGTCCCTGTTAGAGGATGATGGGTTTTCCCACCCCTACCTTTCCCCTTTAAAAGCTAATAAGCCATCTATCCGCTAGAGGTTCTACTGTGCATTATGGCCATTATTGTGGAAGTTAATCAGCGTATCATCTAACGTTACACAGTTAGTTCGTTTTCAGATAGCATGTGTAGTGGTATTTTAATACAATTATTGAAAATATATATATAGTTTTAGTTTTTCCTCTGCTTTTTTCATCCATAACATAAACTCTTATTTACATAACCTTTTTTGTCAAATGAGTTTTCATACCTAAAACTCATTTCCTCATAACATGAAGTTATTGTGATATAATATACTAGTTGCTAATATTTGCGAATACAGTCAAAACGAGAAAGTGACAATAATAAGAAACGAATACAAATAAAGAAACCAGCTGTTAAGACGAACGACAATCGTATGATTGATCCAATAAATGAAATAGTAACGTCATTTGTAAATTAACGAGAAACAAAACAACAATAAATAGTTCTTGTTCAGTGGAAGAAGAATCGAACAAAATCAAAAAGTTTATTAATTATTTGCTTAAAAACTACATAAAAATATTATATTAAGAGGAACGTATATACGCACAGTGCTTTACTTACTATTTTATCTGTGTATGTAGAATCACATAATATTATTTTGACGTGTGAGAAAAAAATCGATTTTTTTGCACGAGTTGAATATCGAAATCAAAAATGTGGAATTCAAGAATGACACCAATGGAAAGCAATGTTCCAGAGAATGAGCAACAGAAGTTCGAAAAACAACATAATTCGGGCCACATTGATTCCGGATTTTTATCCAGTGGAAATCTCCAAATCAGTTCGGAGCTACACGATCACGAATTGAATATTGCAACCGCACCTGTTGTCCCGGAACCAATGAGAATAGATAGTGGTGTGGATCTTGACTCAAGCGAAAACTTGAGCCAATTTACATTAAAAAAAGTTACATTAAATCTTCTAACAAGCAATAAAGTTCAAGTTGAACCTACTATCGAATTGACTCCAGTAAATACCGACAAACTTGAATTGAAGAATGATGTTTCAACATTGCGACATGAATCGCATCAATCTTCTGAAAAATCGCTCAGTGATAAATCTTGGCAATTCTATTATACACAAAATGATGATGGAGACACGTAAGTAATTTATATATGCTCTTTTTCTTTTAAAATAATACAATTATTCGAATTTTGCATGAGTCATTTTACACTTTACATAAAGAAGATGTCATTTTTCTAAAATTTCTATATATATATATATATAACTATGATATGACTAAATAGTCATTAATAACAAAATAAAGTAATAAATAATTTGATGTTTGGTTAAATTTTATTTTATGATATTATTTTTTAATTTTTTTGTGTCTTTTACGTAATATCTATAAATATCTATAAATATCAGCATAAAAAATTGAATTGTTCAAAAATAATATATATCTAAAAGTATTTTTCGCATAATATTCGAGCTTTGATTCAATTTTGACGCCATATTGACTTTATGTATAGTCTGTTCAATTAATTAAATCAATGGATGTAAACAAATACACGTGGGTGAATCATTTAAGCGAGTCAAAATTCGGCTGATTTAATTTATGATATACATTTTGTTTATTCTTATGATTAAATGTAAGACTGATTTAGATTATGATTAAATTTTAGTTAATAATTTGGTTTATAATTAAATATTTTAAAATGTCTTAAAGTGAATTTAATATTACGAATATATATTAATTAATAATATAATAATAATAATGATAACATTTTTGAAAAACAATGAATATTAAATGTTGTATGATGAAATAACTTAGTAATTTATGTAATTTTTGTAAAAGAACAGATCTTTATATTTTCTTGATTAATATGACAAGTCTTATTCATTGTTTGTAAATTCATATATATAAATTTTCATAAAAATATTGTAAAAGTCAAAAAACTGAATAAACAATTAAAATTTAATTATATCATCATTTTAAGTTAAATAATATTGCATGACAAATATTATCAAGTACAATTATGAGTTTTTTAAAGCATGATTATGATTAAAGAAAATGTCATATGTAATTATATGCATGCATAAATTGATCAATCATTTTATATTAAAAAAAACATTGAAGTGCTATAATTGTGAAATGTTTTTAACTATATTAATTTACTAAACTATCAAACTATGAAACTAATACATTTTTTAAAAAGAATTTTCAGAAAATCAAATTTTTTTATAACAAACAATAAATAGTATGATCTTGCGTCGTTACAAATAAAAAATTTTATTTGCTCGTCTATTTAATAGTATTGACAATTATATAAAAATAACAAAATTATACAAAATTAAAAAAAAAATCATAATGAATGAAATAATTCGTTGAAGACATTTGTTGTTTTAAAGAATAATCAATATCATATCTTGATCAATGTCATAACTACTGTACTGGTAGAAAATTATAACATATGTTTTTTTGTCTTTATAATAATGTTATTCGTTAATTAATAATTTGTTTCTTTTTTTATCATCTCAGGTTACTTCATATGGCCATAATACAAGGTTATATGGAAGCTACATTCAACTTGATAAAAATGGCACCACATTCATGCTTTTTAAATATTCAAAATGATGATGGTCAGACACCTTTACATTTGGCTGTATTAACACAACAACCAAAAATCGTTAGGCGATTAATTTTGGCAGGTGCAAATCCATCACTGAGAAGTTTTCGTGGAAATACGCCGCTTCATCTAGCATGTACGATTGGTGATCTTGCCTCGGTAAAAGCCCTCATTGATCCAATAAATTCTATAGAAAAGAATTACTTTCTTGCTGAGAAAAAAATACAAATTCTATCACAAGATCTGGAGCAACGAAATTATAATGGTAATTGATTGATTTATAATTATAAAAAATACTTTGAAGATATAATTCTTATAATCCTTATTAAAATAATATTCTTATAAAAAAAATAATAAAAAGGAGTGTATATAACACTATGTTTTTGAAAAAGGAAAGAAATAATATGCATGTAATATTGCTTGCAGAAAAAAAGTATGTCGGAAAATTCTAACAACTTTTACCATATGAAACAACAGTCATTGGCATAGCACTCGCGCACGCGTAGCATGAAAAACAATCCTGTAACCGTGATTATGCGCGGGTTTCCCATGATTTCATCGAGAATCGAGAATCATCCGTTATTTCAATTGTTTTGTTCGGAAATTCCGTGAAGTCAAAGTACAATACATTCGACGATTCATTTTGTTTTTACTCATTTACTTTAAAAAAAAATAATAATAATAAGATCTTTTGAGAACATCTGAATTTCCGAATAATCTTCATGTGATTTATAATTTAAAAGTAATTTTTTTTTTGGACAATATTCAAATGATAATTTGCATATATTAAAGGAAAATTAAGTTAAATATCTTTTCTATTTTTTTTTCATTCGTTATATTTTTTGCAATTTTATATATAATATAAATGATCAGTTAGATACTGAATATTAAGTCATTTACAAAATCCTGGAATTCCCACATAACGTCATCCTTACACTCCATTCTGACTTATACATTTTATAGTTATTTATGAAATGGTTGGCGTAATGGTTGATTTTGAATTACGAAATAAAGTTTTTGCTTCAGAATAATTTTGATAGATTTATCGGCTTATTTCGTAAATTGTATCATATCAAACTTAAAAATGATTTAAATTTTAAAATAAAATATAATTTAAATTTTGATAATGAAAATTATACACTTGAATTTATAAGTTTAGATTAAAAAGAAACGAGATATACGATTTTAAAACATATAATCTAATAGTAGAATGTCATTTAATTTCGAAGAAAGAAAATCAATTATATTTATTCGATACAATATCGAATAAATATTCGAATAATAAAAAATACTTAGATGTCATATTATTTATTTTTTTTCTTATCTGATACAATATATATCATGTATATGTCTGTATATTTAATAAGAATAAAAATAAATATTTGCATAATAGATATATAAAATTTTTTGTTGCGAAATGTTTTCAATTATAATAAAATTAATAATTATATAATTAAATATTACATATTTTTAGTATTTTTTTTTGATTAATATAAATTTTTTTTTAATCAAATTTCATTATTTGAACTAATAGATTTCTAATTAAATCATTGATGCACCGATCGCATTTTTCTAGAATTATCTTCTAAAAGTATGTGATTTGTCATTATGATGTAATTGTTTATCCTCATTGAAATTATTCGGTTAAAAAAAATAAAATGATATTTTTATTTTCAATATCTTATATAAAACATTTATGTATTTAATATATTCTATGTTTCAGGACAAACATGTTTACACATTGCGGCTTCATCAGATCAAGTAGAACTTGTACGATTTCTAGTACATCGCGGAGCAGATCTTAATGCTAGAGAAGGATTAGCAGGACGAACGGCTCTTCATCTTGCTATGCAATGTAGATGCCGATCTGTGGTTACGTTCCTCCTTCAAGAATGTAGATTTTCCTTAGATACAAAAACCTATCGTGGAGAGACTGCGTATCAATTAGCTCTACATATTGATAGACAACTTGCAAGGGAATTAGTAAGATTGGGAGCAATACCAGAACCACTTCCTGAGTCAGATTCGAATAGTAGTGATGAAGATGAAAGTTCTGCAATAATTTATATATCTTAGGCATAATTGTTGTGAAACAATAGAAACATTCATCAAATCTTTAACAAACATTTCAATTTTGTTTGTTATACAATCGAAATTTAGCATTATGTAATGAATTAGAATCAAAAAATTGCTATGAACGATATATATATATATATATAATATATAATACGATTGTATATATATTATATTTTTATAATATATAACGATATATATAAATATATAATATATATAAATATATATATATATATATGTGTGTGTGTATTTATATATGTATCGTTAGATTTGGAATGGTTTGTAATATATCATGATATGTAACATAGAATAATTCGAATTTTGTTGAGTTCAAATATTAATTAATAAATTGAATATATGTTATTTACTTAAAGTTAATTAGTGATATCAGTGTGAAACATATTGTAAAAACAAGAAAGAATGAAATAATACAAATATATAACGAAAGTATAAAACGAAGTATAGAGAGAAACAAAAGTCTTGAATATTCTTAATTGTGCCTCTATGAGGAGTAACTAAAATAGTTCATTAACAAAGAAAAACGAATATGATCATTGTAAAATATATCAAATGCAAATAATTCATATTTTAGGATCTCGCTCTGTAAATATAAATAAAAATATTACATTTAATACATTTCTGATTGAATGATGTGAAAATGTGTTAAAGATATTTGTATGTTTGGATGTGTTAAATGAAAAAAATCTGATAAAAGAAATACAGAAGTATAATAATATCTAATAAAACATTCATAATTTCATAATTTTTTTTAATATGTACATACATATATTTATATTAAGTAAATTAAGAAACCAAAATAATACTTATGAATAGGATTATTTTTCAAAAAACATAATTTATTTGTGTATTATTAGAGCAAAATACTTCGATACTATATCTTAAACTTTTACTATTTTTTCATTGCTGTTATCTTTATTGTATATAGTCAAGTTTTATTATTTTAATATATTTTAAATATATTTTTAATTATTTTTATAGCATCGGAATAAAACGACATTGTTATACAAACTTGATAATTATATTTTTAGTAATAAAAAATCTTGAAAAGTTCATCAATTTTAAAATTTTTTATTAAAAATTTGAAATAGTAAACGAACAGTAAGAGATACCAATAAATACTTTCTATTCGATTTAATTTTTATCTCATGAAAATATAATAGAACATGAAATGTAGTACTAATCTTGAAAGAATTTGTAAGAATTGATATAAAAATATGAAGTAAGAACTAATTTTTAATTAGTTTTTAAATACATAAAGTTATAATGATCTAAGCATTTTAAAAAGTTTATAAATTCAATTGTTTTTGAATGAATTTAATTTGCGAAATAAACAAATTTTGGAATTTAAAAAAAAGAGAATTTTATTAATTGTTTTAACAATCTTTTAAATATAAGTAAATAATCTTTTAATTATGTATAAATTTATCTTAATATAAAAAATGCAATAATTTGAAGTATATTTCTTATTTCTCAAAAATATTGTTTTTTATAATACAATATAAAAATACTTTTAATGTATACAAAAAATAATTTTGAATATAATATCGCACTAGTTATCGAACTAGTTGTGGATAAAATGAATAGTTGGGATTTCCCAGTTATTTCATTTTGCTAATAAAAATATCAGACTTTTATGACATACCAAATCAAACAATCTTGGATATCAAAATATAAAGTAACTGATTTTTTTTAACAGTCAAAGTCGTTCATATATATTTATTTCCGTTCGAATCATTATTTTTTTCATTTTTTTTTTAAATGTTCTATCACATTTAACTTAAAGAATTTATTAATTCCTACATTTTATTATTTTAATAAATATTATAACTTTATGTTTCAAAATAATAATAAACTAATCAAAATATTAAAATAAAGACAATTCTATTAAGGAAAATCTAAATTATATAGTTTAAAGGCAATATATATATATATATATATATATATATATTAATTTAGCAATGAAAATTTAAGAAAGAGATATAAATATAATTAAAATAAAAAATAAAGCGTAATAAAAAAATATTAATTATAAATTGTACATGAAAAAATTATATATATGTAAAATATAAATCATTATATTAGCAGAAGTTAACGAAATAATAATACATAAATAGTACATATATGAACATGAAGTACACAATAATCTTAATAATGAAATAATCTTAATGAAACAAATAATAGAAAAAAAATAGAATAAAAATTCGGAAATATGCTATTTCAAAAATGCTGCAGATGAAACAAGCACAATAAGAACAAATTGTAGAACAAAGACAAAAATATAATAAAAATTGTATTATTAGTACCATTTTCAAAGTGTCATTCTACAAATGAAACATATATAAATAAGTGATCAAAAAAAAGATAGAAATAAGATAAAAATTGGTTATTAATATCATTTTTTAAATATCAATGATATCTTTTTAAAATAAAATAAAATAAAATTTCTAAAGATCAGCGTTCTCTCTTCATAATTTTTGAATATTTTTGATATTTAAGTAATAATACTAATTTTCAATTTTTATTCTATTTTATTTTGTCTTTCTAAAGAAATATCTCTAACACTTGACAGATGGCATTAATGGTTATTTCTTATTCTATCTCTGTCCTTCTTTTATTATTTGCTCTCTTTGTCTATATTTGTTTCGTTGTGACACACTAGAGATGGCGTTGATTTCTGAATTTTTATTCTATTTCCATCCTTTTCTTACTACTTGTCCTATTAAATGTTAGGTCTATTCTGTAGTTCAATTGTGATGATACATATATTGTAAAGGAAAATATGCCAAAGGAATGTAATATCATTTGAACTAAAGATGAAGTTAAAATTGAATTCATGTTATACATAAAAAAAGTATATACATTTTCGAAGGTACTAGAAAATTGTAGAACATAATCACGGGAAGACATTACGTATAACTAGTTTCACTATAATCAAGAAGTGGCGCTAGTTGTCCATTTCTGGAGCTTTCTGAAAATCTGCGCCGGCTCAAGAGTGTGCATTCACGAGTCATCACGTATCTTTGCAAGCATAAAAGAACGAGTTGCGAAAAATAGAACGAAAGTATCACTGTTCTGAAGTCAATCGTAATGGACCAGGTAAACATTCTTATCATGTCGATTGCCATTATATATTTCGTAAGGTTAAAAGCACTGTGTTTATTCACGATATCATCCATTGAACACGCTTTGCTTTAAAAATTGTCTTGCTTGTCTTATTGCTTCCTGCAATATTTTTCTCGTACATTCTATTAGGTTGCTCCTAAGAACATTAATTTTTATTCTTTTATTTCATTTTTTGTTTCGAAATTACAATTATTTAGATTTATATAATGGAAAATTCGAGATGTTTGTTAATTAGATAACTTTTTTCGTTTTAAAATTTTTTTTAAAAAGAATATTTTTTATTTTTTGTTAGTATTCGTCTTTTTGAATTATAATTGTGTATATTTAATAATATCAAATTATTAAATGTGTGCAGGTATATTTACTGAAACAAAAAGGTAATTCTGCTTTAGAAGAAGGAAGATATGAAGAGGCTATTAAACATTATACAGAAGCAATTGGCTTAGATGAAAATAATCATGTTTTATATAGTAATAGATCTGCAGCTTTTGCTAAAGCAGGAAAATATAAACAAGCATTAGAGGATGCTGAGAAAACTGTGAATTTAAAACCTGATTGGGGAAAAGGATATTCACGTATGGGTAGTGCACTAGCTTATCTAGGTAAATTGAATGAATCTATTAAAGCATATGAAACTGGTCTACAATATGATCCTGGCAATGTCCAACTTCAAAGTGGTTTAGCTGAAGTTAAAGCTCAACTTTTAATGGCTGCTAATCCTTTCAATAGACCAGATCTTTTTGTAAAACTTGCAAATGATCCTAGAACTAAAAGCTTTTTGCAAGATCCAGGATATTTAAAACTTTTGGATACTCTTAGAAATAATCCAGATGCGACAGCTCAAATGTTATCGGATAAACGAATACTTACTACTCTTAGTGTATTATTGGACATGGATACTGATGTAGAAATGCCAATGCACAAAGATTCTGAATCAGAATCTCCAAAACCTAAACAGGAACCACCTAAACCTCAGAAAAAAGAAGAAGAAGAAGATTATAGTACACCTCAAAAGCAAGCACAACGTGAGAAACAATTGGGTAATGATGCTTATAAACAGAAAAAATTTGAAATAGCTCTTGAACATTATAATAAGGCAGTTGAATTAGATCCTACAGAAATCATTTACTTATTAAACATAGCAGCAGTATATTTTGAACAGAAAGAATATGATAAGTGTATTTCTCAATGTGAAAAAGCTATTGAAGTTGGAAGAGAAAATAGAGCAGATTTTAAATTAATAGCTAAGGCATTTACTAGAATTGGACATGCATATAAAAAAATGGAGAACTGGAAACAAGCAAAGGTGTATTACGAAAAATCTATGTCAGAACACAGAACACCAGAAATTAAAACTCTTCTTTCAGATATTGATAAAATTATCAAAGAAGAAGAAAGGAAAGCATATATTGATCCAGTAAAAGCAGAAGAAGAAAAGGAACTTGGAAATGAAAAATACAAAGAAGGAGATTATCCAGCAGCAATAAAACATTATTCAGAAGCTATTAAAAGAAATCCTGATGATCCAAAATATTATAGTAATAGAGCTGCTTGTTATACTAAATTGGCAGCATTTGATCTCGGATTAAAGGATTGTGAGAAATGTGTAGAAATTGATCCAAAGTTTATTAAAGGTTGGATAAGAAAAGGTAAAATATTACAAGGAATGCAACAACAGGGAAAAGCTCTCACTGCTTATCAAAAAGCATTAGAATTAGATCCTTCAAATAGCGAAGCATTAGAAGGATATCGTTCATGTGCTGTTTCTGTTAGTTCTAATCCTGAGGAAGTAAGAAAGAGAGCAATGGCAGATCCAGAAGTTCAAAGTATATTACGGGATCCTGCTATGAGACTTATTTTAGAGCAAATGCAAAGTGATCCTAGAGCTTTACAAGAGTAAGTACAATTAACATATTAGATTTATTAGACTAAAATAAAATTGCTTACTTTTTATTAATATTATTTTTTTTTTTATAGCCATCTAAAAAATAAAGATGTAGCAGCAAAGTTGCAAAAACTTTTGGAATCAGGTCTAATAGCTATTCATTGAAGATGAAAATGTCCGTATTTGTGCATAGCTCTGTGCATGACATTTTATTGTCGCCAAGTTCCTTTGATATTATGGAAACAATGCTGTTCGTTCTATTTTTGTGTATTAGGAATATGTTATTTAAACAAACAGGTCACCTACTGGCATATTCACTTTATATCTGTGTTCTGAAGAGCTATTGTCAAATATAAGTTCCGTTGTATACAAATATTTTCGCGTGAATGCAGTGGCCTTCTGGTCATAGACCACTTTTTCATTGTAAATCTTCGTACAATAGTTATGTATGTTTTAATATGTCTTATAGAGTTTAACTCTATCAACTTATTATATAATTACAAGCTTTTACATAACTTTTGCATAAAATAACACTTCCAATTGTAAATCATCAATATCAATGACATCAAATATGTTAGTATATTTTAAATTTGTTACATAAACTAAGTTAAATCAAATTATTAAATCCGATTAGCCTTGATAAACATTTCCATGCGTCAAACGTGTATTTAGATTTATTTTATATATAAGCGAATATAGTTTTGGTTTAAAGCACTAATATTGTAATAATAAAACAGGATAACAATAGCGATAATTACAGTAATTATAATAATAATAATTGTATGATTTATTTAAAATCAAATTCAGTTCAATATAAAAATATGATAAACAGTGTAATTTTAATCTGTTTATTATAATTTCTCATAAAAATATATGAGAATTCCTATGTTTATTGGTAAAATTTTTTTACATTGAATTTATTGTACTTTAATATAGATATAACAGATCATATATATGTTTAAAATTTTCATTCTGAATTTAAAAATTTTACAGAATCATTTTAATTAATGATAATTAACAATAACGATATCTATTTTATGTTAATAATAATGGTGGTAACAAGTTAAATAATATGAAAATAAAATCAATTAAAAACGAAACAAATAATATCGGACAACAAATTTTTTAAATTTGAAATAAAATATTTTCATATTATTATATTAACTCAATTTATATGAGATAAAACACACAAATCACACAAATCGATTAAATATAACGTAATCTATTTATAAAATTAAAAATATGTGAAATTAAAATATGTGTAAATAGTATGTTTTTTGTAACAAAGACATATAAATTTAGGAAATCAAGTTTTCAAAATTAAAACACAAATCTGACCCATTTTATCTCGTAAACATTTATAGATAAATGCAATTATTTTTAAAATTAGCAATCGAAATATTAATTTGATGATAATTCGTCATTCGATGGTTGAAATCATAAGAATTTTTGCTGAGTTTTTCTACCTCTTTTTTTCTTCTCTGCTATAGCTCGGTATTTACAAGTATTATACTTCTCTCTCATGATATATGGAAGTAACTCGGAGCGTCACCTAACGTTGCAAAATTAGTTCGCTTTTAGATAGCGCACTGAGTAGAGTTTCACTACTATTATAAATTATTATAGTTATCAAGTTTATATATTATATTTTCTTCTTTTGTTTTATTTTGTCAAAAGCAAACTTTTTTTTACATAACCTTTCTCGTTAAAACAAGATGTAACATGAAATATTATAATATTTCATGTAATATTTCGAAAATATTTTTAAAGAAAAATTCGAAAACAAAAAATCAAATATATACAAAGTCAAATCAATTGTCAAGACGAATGATTGATAGAATAAGTAGGTGACATTGCTTGTGAATGATTAAAATATAGTCGAATATGTTTTTATTTAGAAGAAGATACTAAAAATCAATTAATTATTTTTGCTGGACAGCTATGTAAGTAAAAGCATATTAAAAAAGTAGAAAATAAAGATTATGTATACAATGTTCTGTGTTTGAGTATGTGTATACGAATCACGTAGTAATTTTTTTTCAATAAGCGGTAAAAAAGTTAAAATTTTTGAAAATGTATTTAATTCCGTAAGGATATCGATGAAGAACAATATTCCAGAGAATGAACAACAAAAATACAAAGATCAATGTACTGAAAGTCACACCAATTTCGAAATTGTATTTAATGAAAATCTCCAAAACAATGCGATATTATATAATTATGAATTGAATATTGTAATTATACTTGTCTTATAGAAATCGATAAGCAAATACTAGTGTGGATCTTGATTTAAATAAAAATTTAAATCAGTTTGTGAGTGGTAAAATTCAAATTGAACGAAGTAATTCCGATAAAAATCGACAAAGAACAAAGATATGAGACATATCAATTTTTGGAAAAACCTCAAATTGATGAACAACGGATTTACTATATACAGGATAAGAATAATGATATGTAAATAATCTACATATGTTTTTTTTCTTTTTTCAAAATATGTTTGATTTAATTAACAATAAGCAATTGCTCGAACTTATTTGTACAATAACTTATGTGTTTCACTATACAATTGTAAATGTCATTTTTCTGAAATATTTTTATTTTTTGGGGGAATTTTATAATAATATTTGACAAGTAGAATCCATAATATCGATTTTAAATTTAGGAATAGTTAATTCAAAGTTATATGTATGTAGCTATATATTTTTAACTAGATATGATTTTTTTTATCCTTATATGATTCTAGTTATAGATAATTGAATTAATAATTATAAACAAGTATACGTGAAGTATAATAAACAGTAGTATAATAAGTGAATGAAGTATAATAAGTATAATAAACATTTAGAAAAGATAAATAAAATTCTTGTTTCGACTAATGATAATTAATAAAAAAATCGATAATGATCCTACAAGGATATGCAATATTGAATTCATATATTATACATATATTATATGGATATATATATTATGGATCATGATCAATGCTTCATTGTAACATTTTGATTAGCTATTGCATTGATACAAGTTATGATATAATATGATATTTTTTTTTAATAAGTCATATATATAATATCTTTAATAAGTTATTAATAATTTATCTTTTTTTTCTTATTTCAGATAATATTACATGATCTTTTGTGCAAGACTTTAAAGATACTTTGGAAGATACATTTAGCTTAATAAGAAGGATACATATTCGTATTTTTTAAATATTTTGAACTATGATGATCATCTGTATTTTACCGTATTAACATGTCAATCAAGGATAAATTATAAGATTACTTTTGGCAGATGCAAATGCAGAATTGAAAAACTTTTGTGGAAACAGTTTTTCATTTGGCACATAAGATCGGCAAAAAATCTTATTGATTCTTTAATTTTTGCGGAAAAAAATTATCTTTTCCCAGAAAAAAAAGTATCTGTCTTACTCTAAAATTTCGAACAACAGAATTATAAAGGTAATTGATGGATTTATAGTCTTATTATTCTCTTTTTAGTCTTATTATTCTCTTTTTAAAAAGATAATCTTTTTTTTATTTTCTTTCATCATTAAAACGAAATTTTGGTTCCAACTAAAAGTCAAGAGCTGAAACACTTTAAAGATAATCAATAATCAAATAAGATAAAATTCAATAATCAATATTAATCAATTTAAATCAAATTTAAAACTTCAAGTGATATTCGCAGTGATTTAAGTGATAAATAAATATTCAGAGAATTTTATGACTAAGAAAATTGAAAGAAAATGAGAAAAATGTTGCGATATTAAATCGGAATATGCATGATGGAATTTTGGCGTGTTAATTGTGCATATATTACATCTATTACATCATCATATTATATACGATGATATAGAAAGCTCGAAGCAAATATTTTTGATATTTAAAAATTTTTAGATGTCTATTTACATACCATGATTCAATTTGACTTAAGAAATTCCACAAGGCATAAAAATCAATGGATATTATCATTTTTAAACGTTTTCCGCGAAAAATATTCATTTTAGAAACAAAAAAAAAGGTTAAAAAGAAATTATTTAACTTTATTTGGAAGAATCAATTATATATTTGTAAGTTATGGATATCATATATAGATTATCATATCATATCATATCGTAGTTATTTTTCTTCATATCTTTGATATTATTGTATATCTCTATAAGAATAGATAAAGATTTAAAAGATAAAGATTTTTAAAAAAGGGGAGATAAATTTACTATAAAATGAATAATTATATTTCATCAATGTACATATTATCGATGATAATAAGGGATTATTAATTTTAGTATTTATTTAGATTAATATTTAATTTGGAATTTCTAATGATGATTCATCTCATCTTTCTATCTATATTTTTTAAAAATATATGATTCGACCACATTGTTATAAAATCATGTATTTCTATTCTTATTAAATAATTTCGATTAAGAAATAGAATGCTAATTTTTTTTTATATCACTTGTTTCTTAATTCTAAATATTTATTATTAATTTTTTTCTTAATTCTAAAATAATATTTGAAATAATAAAATTCATATATTAATGTAATGTATTTTATGTATCAGGACAAATGTGTTTACACATAACTACTTCAATGGGTTAAGTATAACTCGTACGACTTTTGGTGTGTTGCGGAACAGATCTTAATGCTAGAGAAAGATTGACAGGATATACGGATTCTTTATTTTTCAATAGAAATATAAAAATTGGTTAATAGTTGCATTTTTTCTTGAGATTCTATCTAAATATTATGCCGAGAGCAATTACAAAACTTTACTATATAATAATCAACTAGTAAGAAAATTAGTAAAACTAACAGTAATGCTGGAACTGTTTTCTGAATTTGACAGCAGTGACGAGGATGAAAACTTTGCAACTATTTTTGTATCTTTGTATTTCTGTGTGCATTAAGTTGGAGTAAAATTCATCATTTCGTTTATTAACGTTTCAAATTTGTTTATTGCTGCAGAATCGAAATTTATTATTTATAATTAATTAGAATATTGTTATTCGATATATATATATCATTAGATTATTTCATACATTTTTAGAATAATATTATAATTATACATCGCGATAAGAATATGATATAGATAATAAAAATATTATAAAATCCGAGTGAATAGTATAAGTATTTGTTTTTGTAGATAATTAATATCGTATCAAAGTATGTAACTATATATTTATAAAATTGTAATGTATTATAAATCAGTAAAAATCATTAATTACAATTTTATATGATTAGTCTAATTGTAATAAAAATTCATAGAATATTCTAGATAGAGAATAGTTAATTATTCCAAGAAAATAATTTTTAAAATTTAAAAAAATCTACGGTTATAAAAAGTAATAAGATTGAATTTTATAATAATTTTTACTAATATATAGAATATTAGAATATAAAAATATAATATTTTTTTTTTTAGAATATAATATTATATATATTTTATAATAATTTTTAGTAATATAACTTTAGAATATAATATTAATTTATTATTTAAACATAACATATATTTTTTAATGTATTAAATAGATTTATTTACAATTTGAAAATTAATATTTATCTTAAGATAATATATTTAAGATAATATATTCTATATTTGTTTTATTTAATCTTTTTTTACAAAAAATACAAACAATAGTAAAGTAATATAATAGTAAAATAATAGTTCAAAAAAAATAATTAAGATAAAAATAATAGTTTAAAAAAATAATAATAGTTTAAAAATAATTAAGATAAAAAAATACGTTATTAATGTTTTAAGATAAAATAAAAATTTTTGCGTTTTATATATAATTTGTTATATTATCTATATATATATAATCATTTTGTGAATCGAATATCAAATATAAAATATGTATAAAAATTTTGTTTGAATATTTGTAGCCGCAAAACTAAAAATTTTTATTTTAGTCATTTATTGTATTTTTGTTTGTCTTATTTTTAGGATAATTAATTTTTAAAACTCAATAAATATTTGATTATATATATATATATATATATATATATATATATGTATATATATATATATGAATTATAAATAAATAAATGAATAATGAGTCATAAATGAATAAATATTTATTAAAAACTTATTTACAAAACTTTTTTATATTTCTAATTTTATATTTCAAAATTACTTTAAATACATTACTTATTCTTGGATTTTTAATAAAGTTTTTAATAATACTAAATAAATCAAAGATTTAATAATATAATTGTTATTGAATTTTGATGTTTATTTATCTTCAGAAAATTCTTAATTTTGAATCTTAAATTCATTCGAACAAATACATTTTACATTTAAAAAGACAAATTATTTCAAATCTATATGATAATATTAATTATATCATAATTATCTATCCATAAACAATCTTTTTACGAATCTTATTATTATCTACTTACTTATAAATTAAAAGCATTTCCATTTCCAATTCAAATTCGAATAATTTCAAAGTATAATTAAAATTATTTTTTTTTTTTTTTTTTTTGTATTATCTTTTTAATTCATTTATATCTAATCGCAAAATAGTCTAGTTATAAACTCAAGGTTTGAATACGATTAATGAAGTCTCAAATAATAAAATTATATTCGATATTTTCGACTATTTTAATTCTTTTTAAATTATCTGCTAATCATTCTGTATAAGATAATGACATTATCATTTATAAAAAGCGTAATTAATTTAGCAATTGAGATATTTACCCAAATAGATAGAACCTGTTCTATTGCTCACGGTCAGATTCTTGTCACGTGTTAGTTTAGGAAATCGGTGAACGACTCAAAGTTCAACAGTGTCGAAATGTATCTATCTTTGGACAATCCTTGACAAGATGTTTATTTATTCAACTGTATTTAATCAATGAGAGTATACCTACAACCAACACATCTTCTCCGATTGATATAATTCCGATGAATTTATTTGAAAATTTTGATTACAAAAGCGGAATATTTATCAAACACGCGGTCGATCGCAGCCAGTTATAGTAAACAGACGGAACACTTGATTATACGATTTTCTGGGTATCTTTTAACGCTAATGGTGGGACCGCCGCGTGTCCGTCGGCCTTTCGTTTATTCCTATTGACAGAGACGGGGGAAGAAAAACAGGCGGGCGACGTCATTTCCGAACCGAGGTGAAACTTTCCGTGGCTTTGAGCCTTTGACAAACGGTCGTCCGTAATTGGATTCGTTTTATAAAGTTCCAACGAAACGTGCAGCTTTCTGCTATTAATTGGAGATGGTAAGCGGCGCGCTGCTACAGCGACGAGGAGAGTGCGGCTCGAGGTCGACGAGGGTGATTAATTTAATTCAATTACAAACCGACGGCAGATCCAGGGCATCGATTTTATTACCATTTCTCCTCGTCTCTTGTATCCCCGAGATCTTCGCGTTCGAGACCATCCCCCAACCGTGATGCCGTTCACTTTGCGTTCACATTCATCCACTTTTCTTGTATCCGACAAAATCGATTATCATCTTTAAAAGTATGTAACGATGTAATATTCTTCCTTGTTACGCATTATAGATAATAACAAACGTAAATAATATTTTATATCTCTCTTTTTAATCGCGGGGATAATCATCAGTTTTCAAGAGGATGTCGAATTAAAACGCAATTCACGAATAATTATCGGTGAAAAGGGAAATTCATCTCTTTGATCAATTTGCCTAGAATCGAGTGGAATACTGAAAATCCGGTTGCGCGCTCGAGATTAACGAAATCTGAAGGGATTCACGGTGGAGATGAAAAGAGAGAGAGAGAGAGAGAGAGAGAGAGAGAGAGAGAGAGAGAGAGGGAGAGGGAAAAAGGAAAAGAGGGAGAGAGAAAGAGAAAGAGAAAGGAAAATGAGAGAAGAATTTCCTAGCAACGGAGATGTAGGCACTGCTCGGTTTTACACCTGCTAGCGTGTGGCAGTAGATCGTTCACTGGTTTGCATCCGTGGAAAACGCGGCTACCCGCCATTATACGTGCTTCACGCCCCTCGAGTGGAAAGTGATCTGATAGCGGATTTTTATAGCGCGCGAAGAGAGCTTTTCAACGGCGCGTCATCTATTCTTTTATACCGGTGGAAATTTTTCGAGAAATGCACTTTTCAGATGAATCATCATTTTTTTTCTTTTTTTTTTTCTTCGTCGTAATCGCTCACTTCCATTTACATCCGTTTTCACCGTATCAATCGACGTCCTTCATTCCGTCCCCGTTTTAGGTATCATTTCGGCGAAATATCATCAAGAATTCAATTACACTTTGATACAAAACGTTAAACTATAATGGTGACAAACACGGGAACAATTTCCACCTTTGGCAAACACGCGATGTAAGGACATTGAACAATCCTCGGGGAGGCCGCTCCTCTTGTGTAGCCAATCTCTTCGTCAACGGTGATGTTCCGTGGTTTCTGTAAATCTCGCTCTCGAGTCGAGTAATTTGCCAGCTTGGCCGTTTTGTGCGTCGTTTACGCGGCGATTCCTCCCCCTCGCACCCGATCGGCAAATCGCTGCCATATTTAGAGTGGTTGCATCGTGGTATACGCTCGCGCGTGTACTATCGTACACATGCAGGATCGCGAGGGTATGCGGTGTACGTACGTCGGTTACGTAGCTACTTACGTTAGCTTCCGTGATACATGGAGGTCGCACCTAAATTTCCCCTGGGAGTCATACGTCTCTCCGACCTCTCGGCAACCCTCTCTATTTTCCCTGTGTCTGTCTCTACCCTCCTCTTCCTTCTCCTCTTTCCTTTTGCGCCCCTCCCTCCCTTCTTCGCGACGACGATCTTGCCTCTCGTTTTTTTGCCCCTCTGCCTCCACCGCATCTCGAACGTTTACCAAAGATGTCGACGTGGATGTCGAGAGGGGGCAGAAAAAAGGAAGGTGCATCCATCTCGTTCTCTCTCTCTCTCTCTCTCTCTCTCTCTCTCTCGTCCACGACCACATCACGGTATACATTAAAATAATTGTGCAGGGATGATGCAGATTCCGATCTCTTCCGGTGTCGCCGGGAGATTCTCTCTCGTTTTCATCTCGAATTTCAATTCCTTTTTTTACATTCATCGCGATTCGAATTCGACGCGATTGAAGATCGTTAATGGATCTGTTTGACAGCGAGACCTGTTTCAATCTTTGATTCTCTCATTCAGATCTTTATACGGAGAGACTTTATTTATTAAAATAAAGTCGATGTTGACCGATTTTTATCAATCGCGGCGGCCATAGAAATTAAAATTAAATCAAGACGATCGCGTCCTACGATGGCATCAAGCGGATTAAATCGCGCAGCACGTTCTCGAGTGATATTAAAAGCCGCGATAATAAAGCTGTGTCGCGTTAATCCTATCCTCCCCTCCTTTTCCCCCTCGTGTCGTGCATTTTTAATAAAAACCACCACCCTCTCCCTTGCTCGCGACACGAGATCGCGCATCGCAGCAGAACATTGCCGCAAAGATTGCGCGCAATTTTTGCGGGAATACGTCTTTCTGAAATTATACGCGGCGTTTCATGCATACGTTATCGTAATGTTTAATAAAATGGGCGATATCGCGGCGTTGGAGGATGGCGTGGAATGGGCGAGGGAGGGATGGGGCGAACGGGCGTGGAACGACGCGGCCGTTGCAATTTTTGGAGAAATATCGTCCGCGGCTCGCGTAATTTGCGTCGATGGGCCACATCTGGCCCGTTGGGCGTGCGTTGTGTACCTCCCGAATAATAAATTGGCCCGCGACCATTTTGCGCCAGAAGCGACGCTTCTTCGAGGCATGCTCGCGACGAGCTTAAAGTGGTATTATTGAAATTGCGCTCTTCTGTCGTGCCGCTTTTAATAAGCCCCCGCCTCCCTTCCCTTCTCTGTGATATCGGATATTTTGTCCGTACCGGGAAATGATATTAAACAAAACAAGCAATAAACGTGCAAATACGTGCATTCCATTCTGGATTCTGGATAACTTTCACTTATTTTTCGTTGAATTAATTAACACAAGGAATTCGTAATAAGAAATCCTATTTGAAAAATTCGTATATATATATATTTGATCGAGTCGAAGAAGCATTACTATCTGCTGCTTGTCATGTTCGAGAATCGTTCGTCTGAATATATCGTGCTAAAATCGTGAAAGCAGGATATCTTCCGTTCCATGAGATTTTATTGTCGGTTATTTTATTTTGTTTTGTTCGAGTGTCATTAACAGGAAGCAAGTTAGCCGTTCTCGCGGTAGAGTGGATTTTGTAACTCGAGCTTGCCTACTTTCACGCGCATCCCTCAGGAATATATATATATATATATATATATATATATATATACACGTGTGTTCACACAAGAAGAGCGGGAAAGGAGCTCTCGCGGTACGTGGCGACGAAAGGGAGAGCTGGATGGGGGGAAGAGGCAGTGCAACAGGGGGGAGAAGGTCGGTCGGTCGTAACGGCGAATAGAATAGCGGCATAAAACGTCGCGAGGAAGGCGTGCTCGGTCCTCCGCAATTTCCCGGGGATCGTCGAACCCAGCTAGTCGGCTTATTAACTTTTATGAGAGAACAACGGGCGGACGCAAGTGAGAAAGGGATAGGAGAAAAGGCGCGGACAGAAGGCGACCCAACGGCCATTTGCAGCTTGCGAAAATATCCTTTGCCATTCGCTTACAATGGAATTATACACCGGGGAAATTTTTTCCCTACAAGATTTATCGGGAAAAGCACGATTTAATACGTAGCACGTTCCCCGATAATATTGGAACTTTTTCAACGAGTTCACGTTTGTAACTTTCGATAATTATTCCAACCTTTCGCGTGGAAGATGGAAGACGCGTGACAAAGGAAGCGTGAAACACAAGGTTCGAGTAGATGGAGGAACGGAAAGAGGAGGGGAGGAGTAAAGGTAAGCGCACGAAAAAATTTGAGCAGAGGAAGAAAAATTCTCGTCGCCTTTGAGTCGCGATGTCACGTCGATTCTTTGCCCATGCCTTTCGCTTCCTACATTATCGCGAATTGGATACGCACAACGGCGCGGCGTGGCATTTTTCGCTCGAGACGTACGCAACGTATTATCTTCCCTCTGCCTTCAGACAACGCACCTCTGTTTCGCAGCCTCTGTAATAATTTCCCCCTTGATCAAGGAGCGTGGATGAATATGCGAATTCATGCACACAACCATGACGGAAGCCGTCCTCGTTAAATCGACGCGCGTTTCGATTCTGGCCGAGAGATCTCCAATTATGTTAGGTATTCAGGCGAACGATTTCGTTAGTGTTTGATAAACAGTAGTTAGCAACGAGTCACGATAAAATCTGCCGAATCGTATCGAAACGATCGCGCTTTTAAATTAAAAGTCAATATAAGCGCCGTGCTCCCCAGCGTCCAACGGATATCCGATCAATTCAACGCGCATTATGGATACGTATGGAAATTTGCGCGTACGAAATTAACGCGATACTTGGCGTACGCGATGTTCGTTTCCACCTCTTTTTTTTTATTCTCGCAAATGGGAGAGCCAGTTTCGAACCAGTTTCGTAGATTAACGCGTTCACGAGCATTCTCACGAGAAAATATGCTGAAAAAAATATATACTGGATCTTTTTCCTTTGTCCTTGAGAATGTGCCCGCGAAGAGAGTAAAAAGAAGGAAAAAACGGTGGAATGGATGAAGAAAGAAAGGAAGGAAGGAAGGAAGGAAGGAAGGAAAGGAGGGAGGGAGAGAACAATAGTGTTCAGCCAATTACGTAGTTCACCGGCAACGTCGACGAGGGCGCAACAATCTTCATTCCTTTCAATTCTTTCATTCCTTGTATCGTGGGCAAAGAAGAGAGACCAGAAGCCGATTGCCGAAAAATTCTTCCAGAAAATTCGCGCACCATGAGAAGGGAACCGGATCAAAAGGTATATTTTTGTTGTTGGGGAAATGGTAGACATCAATTTTCACCACAGATATTCTCTCCTATCGTTTATTTTGATTTGCAGGATTCGTTATCGTGCTCTTCCCTCCCTTCCTAGTTACGCCGAGACTGCTTGGGATTAAGAGATTTCGTGGCGTGGAATTTATGGCATGGGTTTCTTCACTTCTGCTGGGACTTCATAAATATACGGATAGTTGACGGGCGGATGGACGGCTGTTTCGTGGACGGCGCATTTGTCTCGTTTGTCGTTAGCTCATTACCTCCATTCCTTCTTTATACGTTCGTGTTTGAAAAGTGAAACATTGTGACACTCTATGCCTCTCTGTTTTAGGAAACAGGCGTTATCGATAAGGGAAGGAAAATCCAATAGAACCGCTGTTCGAAAAGTCGTTTTCGATACATCCGGAGATACGAGATATATTTTGTCGAGTTGGCGAGTGTCTGACCCGATTATGGATCGATATACGTTTCACGCATCGCTACATCAGCGAATTTTCTAATCTCTGCGTTTATATTCTTAAATCTTAAATTGACTATATTGCATTTTTGAAATTGCGAAATTAGAAATTCGAATCGTACAATATCGTTATAACGTCGAATAAAATAGAAAGCACGCGATGCAAGTAAACAGATATCGGTCTGGAACAATCAGATTTGTGCCTAGTTTATCGCGCGAATTGAACGAAATCGTGAAACGGTTGTGCTCTAACGTTTTCTATGCAAAACTTCTTCCAAATCGCTTACAACGGTTACGCAAACATCCGATCGGATTATCGATGAAGCGTGTAGCATCAAAAAGTGTTTACTTTACATTGGTATAAGGCCGGAACAAAGAAAGAGGAAAGTAGGACGAAATAGAAAATTAAAGGAGGCGAGTCAGTGGGTCGACAATGAAGGTGAAGGAAAAGGATGGTGGAATCTTTGGGAATACGGGAATGAAAGAAAATCTTTATATATATGTGTAATGTATTTTTCTTTCTTCTTCGACGATCCTCGTATTTACTTGTTTGGAATCGTGCTCCGTGGCGTGGAATTATCGAGGATGGCAAATATAAAGAGTATCGAAAACCACTCGAACCAAGGAAGGAATAAAGTGGGATAAATGCGTAGAGGATGGATGGACAAAACGAAGAAACTGGTACTGGTGTGTCCCAAGGTAATTAAGCAAAGTATCGTGCTACGTACATACGAGTGAAGGAAAAACGAGGAAAAAGTAGAATGCTACGAGGTTGTAGGAGGTGTTAGATCAAGGGAATTGACCGAGTCGTCTCTGCCTTCGCATCCTTTACTTCGTTCCACGAATGCGGTCAGAGCGTGTCGTTGCTTGCTTTTAAATCGAATCGACGAAGAAACCGTTCGTCGTTAATTTAATAAAACTATCAGCCACGACGTACATTTTAACGAGCCTCTACCTGTTGTTCTCCCTTTCATTGAATTTATTCGTGTCGCGAACGTAAAACAAACGGGGTTGAATAGCCATTGCGACGAAGTGAAGAGGATAAAATTAGACAGGTAAAACAGAATATATTTAACAGCTTAACGGTCAAGGTTTTTCTATATAGATTTGTACGTAGATGAAAATTATGATCATTTTTAAAATAATCGTAATAAGTCGTAAATAGCATGTGTATAAATTTAACAACGAACGGTTAAATGGATTCTTATTACGTTGTATTGACGTTTGATTTTCGTTCGTTATAAATAACAGAACAAAAGAAAAGAACATTTGTGTTTTAATTTAAAAGATATTGATAAAAAATTTTTAATTCTTGATACATTGTATGAAAAAAACAAATTTTTCTTAAATTTTGTTACGTAATTGAATTTCTTATTAAAAAAAAAAATTTTTTTTTTACGCCATCTAGTTTTTGAGATATTTAAAAAAATATATTTTTTAACACTCCATTTTGGAGAATGATTTCACTCATTCAAGGTGAATATCAACTGATAAAAAAAATATTCAATTTTTGTCAAATATTTTTTTTTTTTTTGAGAACTATCTCCTGTATAAATTTCATCAGAATCAGAATGTGTAGATTTCGATACGTTCCTTTTTAAAATACCAATTCAGATATGAATTTGCATATCAATGGTATCAGTTGATTAATAAATATTATTTCATATTGTAAGTAATTATTGCGATTCTTCGAATATACATTAGTTTTATTTAAATTTCAAATCATATTATATAAGATGATTATGATTTTGATATATGACTTATTTATTCGTAACATTGAAGATATGATAAATTATTTACGAATATATTATAATTAATTATGATATATTTTTTTAATTTTAATTGATAATTTTAAATTTTTATTTTTAATTTTAAATTTATACGCGTATAAGTTTTTCGTTATATAACTTATTCATACGATAGATAAATATTGAAAAAATTTTTTTTTAAAATAATTCTTTTTTCTAAAACTAAATTTTAAATTTCTATTTATATATTTTATCATCATTCGGATTATTATGATGTAACCAATTGTCAATTAAAAAATATAAATGATAAGATAAATAATCATTGTAATATATAGAAATAATCAATGTGTATACAAAAATACGTTGATTCTGTTATTAAAATCCAAGATCAATAAGGATTTCGACTTTTGAAGAGTTCAAAGGAAATATTGACGGAACAACATCGAGAAGCAATATCTTCTAAAAATTTTTCGAAGGATCGTGAAATAAGATTGTGAAATATCAGCATGTAATCTCAAAATATAGACATATTCAATATATGTCTATGTTTTATAAATACTTTCTTACCAAATGTCTTTCATTCTATTATTTACGACTAAATAAGTCTCTATTTACGATTAATAAAATTACAATATAGCGCACGATATATTTCGATTCTATCGTGACGATAGCGTTGATGCTTCTTTCACGTTCATTGCTTTAGATTGATCGTAGCCTACAAGTATTATTTTTATCGTCTCTGACATAAGGTGGATGGAAGATACAACTCTAACCGACTATGTTACTTATGCCTTGTTTCTTTAATATTTCCCTTCCCATCATCAAGGGCGTGGAAAAGATTATTATTTTCACTTAATTTCAGGAAATTCTTACAGTTAGTAGGCGGTCCTATACGAAACGTGACGAATGAGGTGACAAATCCAGTGACGGGCAGATTACATATAGGCACTAATACTTGTTTGTTTTTGTTACTACATACATTATCTTCTAAAGTGGAAGAAAGCCAGTGTGTCCAGCGCCGTCGAACCGTGAACGTCTAAGCATGGAAATTAATCAAATTCGAATCATCTTTTCGTTTATCCTCGTGATAAATCTATTATCGTGTTCAAATGCTAATAATTCTACCTCGTTTGAAAATAACCGCCTTAAAATTCTGGCAATCTTTCCTCATCCGGGCAAGAGTCATTTCCTCGTATTCAAACCTTTCATCGAAGAGTTAGCACGTCGAGGCAACGAATTGACGGTGATTTCTTATTTTCCGAGAATCGAGAAGGATGAACATCTTCCTACTTACAAAGATATCAGTTTGGCCAATAAAGAGAGTGACGTGTTTATAAACGTAGTCGATTTGAAAAGATTTGAAGGGAAGTTTTACATTTATAAATATTTTACCAATATATACATGTTGTACAAAATGAGATTCGTAGCCTGTGAAAATTTAAAACATCCAGCTGTAAAGAAACTGAGCGAAAATGGGGAGAAGTTCGATTTGGTGTTGATAGAGAATTTCAATACTAATTGTTTCATGAGCTTTGTGCACAAATTCAACGCGCCCTTTATAGATATATCTACCCATCAGCCAATGCCGTGGACTGTACATAATTTGAGACTTTACAACGAAGCCAGTTTCATACCTATGTTGTTGACCTCGATTTTAAAACCGATGAATCTTTTTTATAGAACGATAAACACGTTGTCGCTATACGTCTCATCGGCGCTATATTACACGTTTTTCCATTGGAAGGATCAGTCTGTAGCGGAAGAAATTTACGGTCCGGATATTCCGAATGTGATGACGATAAGTAAGAACATGTCTGTTTTTTTCATTAACACGCATTACACCCTTCACGGTGGCATCTCGTATCCGCCAAATGTCATCGAAGTGGGTGGAATTCACATCGAATCGAAAAGAAAACCTCTGCCACGGAACATAGCCAAATTTCTCGACGAGGCACACGAGGGTGTTTTGTATTTCAATCTCGGCTCGATGATCAAAATGTCTACGATGCCGAAGGATAAATTGAATACATTGATCAAAGTGTTTCGTTCCATTCCTAGAAAAGTGATTTGGAAATGGGAACAGGATGACATTCCGGAATTACCCGACAACGTCATGGTCCAGAAATGGCTGCCTCAGTACGACATATTAAGTGAGTTAATGACATTTATCTCTCTCATTATTTTGAAATAATTGTGAAATCGAGATCTTATGTTATTACGATATTTGGAAGTGGTATTACAGGTGATCTATTGCGCAGTTATGTAGAGCAAAAACTCGATACCTCCGGAGTCTCAATGACATCTATGTTATATGTGAAAGTAATGGGTTGTATTTGATACACGGTATTCGTTTTATAGAGAATTATAATCGTGTTTTATCGATACGCTTCTTTTCGATTTCACACGTAAAAAAAAAAAAAAAAAAAAAAAAAGAAAAATACAATTATATCTATATTTATTTACCGTTTTTATCTCTCTTTGTGAACGAGAGTATTTAAAAAAATATTTTATAAATACTTATCCAACTTTGCTTCTTTCGTCGAATTTATTTTATCGAATTGTATTATATATAAAACTTCTATTCTCAAAGGGAATCTTTATTTACTTTTTTTTTTATTTCCACATAAAAGAAGCATTCATACGTACGTGATACGTTATCTCGTTATTAGATAAAAGCTTCAAAAAGTTTTGTCTTTATTATAATAATACTCAAGATTCGTTAATCGATTCGTTTTTCATTCGAACGAATCGAATTTAAATTATTCATATATATGTCTGTTTCTTATCAAATTCTTTTTTTTTCAATTTATTATAATAAATATTGTTACAAATATAATAACGAGATAATAAGATGTTAATATTATAAAATTTTATGTTTATATCATAATATTATATTTATATATATTAATATTTAAATATTTAATAGATAAAAATACTCTTTATTTACTTTATTTGTTATATGCACATAATTTATTAACTAATGAATCTAATTTGAAGAATTGCAAAATCACTTTATTTTTTTATGTATATTTCAAAAAAAACATTAAACAAATCATTAAACAATCATTAATTATTCATTTGTTTTCGAAAATAAGATACGTAACAAGTTGTTGATCATATATTAATGATGTTTAATTTATTCTCATTCTAATCTAAACAAACTTAAAACAAATTTTTTCCTCTTCCTATCTTTGTTTAATCATTTATTTTTTTTTTTTTTTTTTTTTTTTTTTTTTTTTTTTTTTTTTTTTTTTTTTTTTTTTACTACGATTTTTTACGATTTTCATTCAATTCACACATTTTTTTTTTACGATTTTCATTCAATTCACACATCTTGGTTCGATACGATCTATTATCCGGCTAGCGACACGATCCGAGAAATCTCGAAATCGAGATTGAAATTCCGCCTGTTCCATCGAACTAATCGAAACGACACGGTCTTGCTGGAAATCGCAGCGAAATATCGAAAGCGGATTTCGGCTCGGTCGATATTTGCGATTCCGGCCCATGAAGCCGAACGTCAAATAGTTTTCAAAGTTTCAAAACGGTTCGCATAGTCGAGGAGCTTTCGATCCATCCAAAATGATATCTATCTCGTCATTGTGATATCTACGTATCGCGTTTGATATCTATCGTCGTACATGTGTCGTTGCGAATTATTTTTCGATTCATTATCGCAATAATATCCTTCACGTGTGTATTCAAGCTTATTAACATCTCGTTGCGATATAATAATAACGTGATTCCTCTCCAGTTTTATTACTCTCGATTGTTCAAAGGAAATGGACGAAATAATTTTGTGCGTCAACATTCACGCTTCAATATACTTCGAGTCGAGTCGATTTTTTTTCATAACACGTAACATTGGCCAGATTTGTTGACAAAATGGTAATTATCGTAATTAGCGGAAATAGATTAACTAATCTACTTCGCGTGGAACCGCGATGGTTTAAACTAATTAAACTAAAAGAGACAATCCCGAATACTCGGTTGGTCATGGCAAGGATATTCTTTCGACGAGTTGCTCGGCCAAGGACGAGACACGGGACCACGAGAACTCTGACAGTAAGTAGTTTCGCAGCTCTCAGCCTCGAGTGAAATGACTTTAATTAGCAACTCGCTAACGACCTGCTGGCAACATAAATCACCGTTAAAATCCCCGGTGAAATAGACCTCGCATTGTTTCTGTCGCTTTCTACGCCGTTAACTTATACGCCGGAATATATATATATAATCCATAATTTGGATTGGTCGCTAATCTGATCTTGCGTGTTTGGTTGTATCGATTTCTATTCATTTTATCGTGCACGAAATATTTAGACGATATATAGACATATTGAAAAGAAGAGAGATTTTTAGATTTTACAAATTGCTCGATATTTTTGTGTAAAATTTTTTCCATTCCGGATCATTTGTTTTGTTCAACCTGAAAAGTACGATGTACATATGACAACTATTACGAAACATTTTACAATATAATTTATTTCAATCGTATTTCATTCACATAAATTATCTTCAGTTACAAAATATATATAATCATCATGATTTGTCTTTTCGTATAACTTTTCCTACACATTTTAACATTCCTATATCTGTTTATGATTCATTGCCGATTTGATGATTCATTTACCAACGTAAATTTATAATATAAACACGTGTCTTATCGTATTACGAGATATTACATAACTAAATGTAATCTTTATATTTTATTTGTGCTAGTATATTTCAATTTATTTCATAAGCTACATGAATAATAAAATGAAATGATCATGATATAATGCATTCTACGTATCGCGAAATAACTCTATTAAGAATAATAACAACGATTTCCTCCAAAGCTTCTCGAAGCTATCTCCTATTACCGCAATCTAAGTATCGTTCTTAACGGGAACGATAAGTGTTAAAAACAACGAATTTTTCGATGGTCGGAGGATCGCGTAACACGAGGCAGAGCAGCCTCGATGGTCAAGATGATCCAAGCTAAAACTTTAGCTGGGTAACTCGAGTAGCGGAGGCTGGAATCGATCGGCTTAATTTTATTATCCAGCTTCGTGACCGGTGTATCTTCGTCCCGTCTTCTTTCCGCGGCCATTCTCCATTCGACGGCTCTTCGTGATCTCGATAAGATCTGCGGTTTACGCTTCTCCATCGTTTCGCACGCGAAATGCGATGGCGCATCGCTTTTAAAATTTCGCGAACTTTTTAAAAAATTGGGAAATTGGATAAAAAAAAAAAAAGAAAAAATACTTGCCTGTGCCTGTGTTTAATCGGCATTTTTATTCGACTCGGCATTCTTGCATTCAACATTTTTTTTTTTTCATTTTTACGCTACCGATAATTTTTATCGGGCTATTTTGTTAAACGAGATTATAACTTATTGAATACTCGAGCAATACTCTGGACAAATTTAACTACATTTTCGCGCTGCAAACTCGCGCGTATCGCCGAGTGTAGTTTACTTACCTACTGTTTTATCCTTTCAAGAGCGGTTTACTTGGGGAAGATCGCGTTCGCGTAAACAGAATCCGGAACACATCCGATGCACATACGCAAACGCTGTGGAACACGATTCCACGCGTCGCGTTTGCGATCGATCTTGTCAATTCGCGTGGAACTCGCTAATGTAATTGACTTTAGAAGCAACGATATCGATGGTACCGAGTTGGTTGCACGTGTTGACACGCAATGCCCTCGAGTATCGTATTTTAACCGTGTAACGGAAGGGACGAAACGATAGATTACATTACCGTAAGGAATAAAAGAGCGGAATCGTTCTATCGGGGTCCCACTCTCTTTCTCCTCCCATGGTATCCATTAAGAAATGGGGGTATACCTTTCTTTTCCGGCTTTACGATCCTATTGGATTAAGTCGGTCGGACGATCGGTTGTAATGCTAACTCGATGCTTCCAGGTGATACGCTGTATATATATATATATATTTCCGATTCGATTCGTCTGGTTGATTTATTTTCGAAGAAGACGATTCGATTAATTATCGATGAATTTAAAAAAAAGAGAGAGAGAGAAAAGAAGATTGAACCACTTGAAATCGTTTAGAAATAAATTGGATCACGACGAATTTACACATATATTTTTGATATTTAAAGAACAACCTTTCATTTTCCATCGCGACCTTTCGAATTATCGTCCAACGTCTAATTTTATTCCCCTTCTTTTCCTTTCTTTCTTTCCTCCTTTTTTTTTTTTTAGATACAGAGAAGCAATTTTCCAGACTTGCATAACTTACGATCCCAGAAGAAACAGCTCGCTACTCTCATTACTTTCGTCTTACGACCGCCTCTTGCCCATAGACGACCAAATATCAATTCTCGCGAGGGGTGGGCTTACCGACGCTCATAAAAGGACGGTGTAAGCATCGAGTCGAGGAAATACCGCCGCGTTATTTTCTCGTTACGGGGGACGTCGTAAAAATGTATCTCGCTGGGTGACGGAAATCTCGAAGCAAATCGCGCGTACGCCCCACCGATTTCTCTCCTCTCCTCTCCTCTCCTCTCCTCTCGGATTCCCCCCTCCCCGTCGATGTTGCCAGCAAAAATTCAACGCGATAGATATCCCACTGTCACGTATCGACGCGCGCCGATGCGACGATGTATCGAGCGCGAAACCTCGAGAGGTTTCTGCTCTCCTTCAACCTTCGCCCCCTCCCTCCCTCCCTTACGCCGAGGCGTGTAACTCCTCCACACCTCGTCTACATCTGTATCCAAATCGAGAGAGAGAGAGAGAGAGAGAGAGAGAGAGAGAGAGAGAGAGAGGAGGGGGAGGGATTGCCGGAGGGGTGGCGAGAAAAAGGTGGCGGCGCGTGGTAATGGAATTTGACATTAGGATCGATGCCCTGGAGAAGAGAGAGAGAGAGAGAGGGATCTCTGCGCGGAGAGACACGTTGGCAGCATCTACCTTTGAATCTACCTAGAAGAGGGTGATTCGGGGGCGATAAACGCGAGGGAGACAAGAATTTTTCACCGATATTTCCAACGCTTGGATTTATTTTCGAGAGGTTTCCCAAAGGTGGTTTTACGTGCCTCCTTCCCCTCCCTCCCCCCCTCCCTCCTCCTCGCCTCTTCTATTACACGAAATTTTCCGCCGAGAACACGAATTCAAGGAAACTTTGCGATCATTTTCCATCCATCGAATTATTCGTGGATGGATTCTCGATCATTTGAGAACAGGAAACAAGCAACGACGGACAAGAACAAGAGAATCGACGATTTTTCTTTTTTTTTTTCTTCGATTTTAAAGAGAATTTCGTTTCACAGATCATCCGAACGTTAAGTGTTACTTCGGCCACGGTGGTCTCCTCGGATTAACGGAAGGAGTTCAGAGCGGGGTCCCGATGATACTCATGCCCTTCTACGGTGATCAATATACGAACGCGGCCGCGGCTCAAACTAGAGGCGTCGCTGTTATCCTGGAATATCACGATTTCATCGAGGAAAAACTGAGAAACGTCATCGATCAAATATTCAACGACACGAGGTAAGTTTCTCTTCTCCGCCGATCCATTTTTATACCAGAGAGTGTAAAAGAGAGGAAAAAGAAAAAAAGAAACGAGTAAAACGGCACACTTCTCGCGTCGCGATCGCGATTTTAAAATTCTTTTCGTGGTTATTTAAAGCGTAAATTCTTCACGTGTCACGTCGTGTTCGTCCATCGTGATCGTTGTGCCAATTACGTCGTCTCTCGTACACTCTCGATTATCACGCCGCTGTCGATGCATCGGATCGCGCGGAGAAAGAAGAAGAGAGAGAGAGAGAGAGAGAGAGAGAGAGAGAGAGAGAGAGAGAGAGAGGAAGTGAAGGGAAATAAATCGAGACGAAAGAGACAAAAAATAGGGAGAAGGTAGACGCGGAGGGTCGGAGAAAGGGACACGGTGACAAAAAAGGAAAATCGTATAATCTGGCCGGATATTCGGTCCGTTGAATATCTCACGAGCTGTCCGGACGCTTGGATATCCGGCGAGTGCATCGTCGTTGCAACACCCCCGTTAATCCGTAAACTGGCGTTTTTCCACGTACCCTCTTTCAACCTGCTACCCTTGTCTCTTCTTCACCGACACTCTACACCCACTCTCCTCCCTCCCTCCCATCTTCCAACTAGTCGGACATTCGCCCTTCTTTTTTTTTTCTTCCTCTCTCGTCCCCTCCCTCCCTTGTCTTCGCCTCCTCCTAAATTCGAGGCACGAATCGCGGAAAGAGCGCACGTGTTCTCCTCGATCCATCGACAAATACTACGGCGGTGTGGCGTGGCATAGCGTGGCGTGGCGTGGCGTGGCGGCGGGTCTCTCGTAGCGGCAGGTCGCATGGGAAATTTCACGGCCGCTAAATGTTTCACGGCGCGAATCAACGCCGGTGGCTCGATGACGACGACGGGGGAAACCGGGACGAAATTAAATTCTACATTATTCAATGGCCGGCCGGGCCACGCGGATAACTTGTTAACCGCACACGGGGAGCGAGCCGTGACGCGGCGATTGCGTTTACGCGCGTCACGAGCACGCGACGCCGAATAATTGCTCGTCGCCCGTTGAATCTTTGAAAAATCGTCCACCACCTTCTCCTCCACCTCCTCCTCCTACCTTTCTCCACCGTTTTCGATTTTTTTCGAAAACCGCAGAAACCCGAAAATGTGAAATGAATGGAAATGAGATAACCCTTGTGCTTCGTTACCCTCGGTGTGTATTTTCCCAACTCGGCCTTTTCCCCACTTGGAATTTGATGGAATAGTAAATCCGCTCGTATTTACGTAATCGTAACGATATTACCCCGACACACCGACATTAGAAGATAGAAGAAGAAGTGGAAGAGAGAAAATTCAAGATGAAAGAGAGAGAGGGGAGAATCGAAACGCCAATTTCTGGAATGGGGCGAACCACGATTTAATTACGATGGGCCGGCACGCGAGCCTCCAAGGATGAAAGCGGGTTAATAAATCAGCACCGGATATGAAAGCGTTGGCAGCATCGCGATCAACGGACCTCGTACTACTGTGTCCTGGTAATTACGACAGGGGTGGATTTACGAGCTGGCCGTCTTGAGCCAGGAGGGGAAAGGGGAGAGGAACAGAGGATGCTCGTTGTCCGTTGACAATGCAGGCGCGATTGTATCCTCCCTTTTACTCCACGCCTTGAATATTAATTGATAAATAGAGCCGCGTAATTGGATGATCGCACGATTTGCACGATTGTCCGTGTTACGTGATCGAAATACAGTGGGGCCGCGTAATCGCCCGTCTCGATCGCGACAATCGATTCGTCGTCGTCGTCGTCGTCGTAGTCGGTTTGTGCCACCGAGAAATTTCAACGCCTCCTGTCACGAGGCGTTGCTTCCCCCGTGATATTCCCCCCGATTTCGTGCGATCTCACCTCCAGACCAGAGATTCGACTTTCGATCGTGATCGTTTGTGTGTTCGTGGATCGAGCATGCTCGTCGCGCAAGGTGAAACGCGAGATCGGACTCCGACGTTGGCTCGCGTGTCGCCGTCCAATCGTCGCCGTGCAACGTCTCATGCATGCGAGTGATATAAAATTAAGCNTACGTGATCGAAATACAGTGGGGCCGCGTAATCGCCCGTCTCGATCGCGACAATCGATTCGTCGTCGTCGTCGTCGTCGTAGTCGGTTTGTGCCACCGAGAAATTTCAACGCCTCCTGTCACGAGGCGTTGCTTCCCCCGTGATATTCCCCCCGATTTCGTGCGATCTCACCTCCAGACCAGAGATTCGACTTTCGATCGTGATCGTTTGTGTGTTCGTGGATCGAGCATGCTCGTCGCTCAAGGTGAAACGGGAGATCGGGCCCCGGCGTTGGCTCGCGTGTCGCCGTGCAATCGTCGCCGTGCAACGTCTCATGCATGCGAGTGATATAAAATTAAGCAACGATTTGGAAACAGTGTTAGCCGGGGGGGGGAGGAGTGTGCTCGTTGTCGTGCCCGGTGCTGCCGTTGCGCCCGCGTAATCACCACTTTTGCTTGATTTATGGGCCCTGGTTTCTCTTCCCTCGCCCCTGGCCAAGTTCTGTATAAGTTCCAAGTATAAGAAAGTCGTCGTCGTCGGATAAACGCCATAATGGTTGGGCGATAACCTCCGATAGAAAGAGATACGTTATCCGTGGCTCGGTTAAACGTCCATCGAGCCAATAATGGCCCGATCGAGATCGCGAAATTCCAGGGTCGACAGTGTCAGAGTGGCCTCCATAGATTCCGTTCTTCGGCCGCAAACCGTCATCCTTTGGTACTCTGGTCTTGATCGATGCGATCTTAAAACGTTATAACCAAAGTTATATTATCGTTCGCGATTTCTCGAGAGGGAAGAGAGGACGAGAGAGAGAGAGAGAGAGAGAGAGAGAGAGAGAGAGAGAGAGAGAGAGAGAGAGAGTTCGTGACCCGTGGCACGAACGACGTGCCGCTTGTTCGATCTCCAGTTTCTCCTTTCGGATCCCACGAGGCGACGCCAAGTGGTCATTCAATCCCCAAACTTGCCCGCGCATGATTTCGCTTGTAAGCCAACTTCGAGTTACAGCCATTTCGGTAGAGATCAAACGGCATACACGGCTACTACCCTCCCTCCCTCGTCTCCCCGCCTTAAAGACGATCATATTCAGCTTGTACTTGCACTTGTACTAACTGTACGATCGTAACGATTCCATGCTCTCCGTGGTTGGACAATAAACGTCGTGGAAATTTCGTCCAATTTATCGAGCCCTGGAGACATTCCAACGGTTCTTCCAGGTGACTCCAATTATTATTATTATATACGTTCTTCGCATCTCGTCGACGTTTTCCAATCCCTCGTGTATTTATATATGGTCAAAGGGAACACGGTTTTTCTTTCTTTCTTTTTTTCTTTCTTTTTTTTTTTTTGGTATAATTAGCGTACGTCATCGATGTTAATTTTCCACTTTCGAGCAAGAAGAAGAGAACTCGTATTTAATCCTCGCGTCACCAACTGCGTCATAGCATATACCTCGCCCTCCTCCGGTTTCTTCCGTTGATGAACCAAGTTCGGGGGATGATATTAAACGGTACTATCGAATTCGTCTCCCGACTAGGAGAATTTCTCTCAGACATGATTCGTGGATACCGTGTGTTCATCGCGCGCGCGCGCGCGCGCCTACAGAGAGGAGCGTGTAACCGGAGGAGCGTGTGCGTGCGTGTGCGGGGCGAGGCGAACAAGTTGCCACACCGAAGCCAGTAGTCGGAAGGATGGTGGTAGTGGAGGATGGTGGTAGTCAAAGTTTCGACAGTTTGTAAGGAGGTACGAGGCACGCCCTCCTCCTCCTCCTCCCGCTTCTTCTTCTTCGGTTACGGCTGAGGGATAACATAGTGCAGCTCCGTCGTCAAGTTAGCTCTCCTTCTCCTTCCCTCTCCTCTGATCTTTTCCTTTCTTCCCACCCGTACTTGTCCTCTCCGCTTTTTCCCTCCCTCGGCCATCTTTACCCCTTTCGCCCTTCTCCCTCTCCTTACGCCTTTATTGCCCTCCTTCCTTTTACTATCCTCCTTCTTATTCTCGAGCGTAACCCTTTCGCTTCAGTTTCACGAAAATTCCATTCGTGCGCTCGTTTGCCGGGACATCCCCTAGCTAGGATTTATTTTCGAGAGGCAGAGGTATTCTTATTCCTCGCGCGGCGGAAGAAGAAGAAGAAGAAGAAGGAGGAGGAGGAGGTGGAGGAGGTTACCTTCCTTTCTGCGGCTTCGACGACAGTGCTTGGCCGCACCTGTTCGCTCGTAAGGGACGCGTAATGGTCGAAGAGGAAAAGCGATGGAAAGGACGGAAGATATAGGGGATGTATATATGTATATAGGGGAGAAGAAGAGGGTGGAAATGAACATAAGGTCGGAGGAGACGCTGCGTAATGACGCGTGGAACGTCCCCGCGTGGGGACGAGAAAGTAATTGGACGGTTGCCGGGGATAACTCGGTTCCGCCACCCTCTTTGATGAATGGGTCGAGCGTTCGAGTAGTGACGCAGTTCACCGAAATTTGCGAACCTCTGATTGACGCTTCTTAAAATAGAGGACGGGCTCGAATACCAATTCCTCCAAGATTTGAACGACTCGCGTTTCCGGACGCGTGTCGAAGAGTATCCCGAAAAAGGAGGATGATCCTCTCGAGAGAATCTCTTTGTTTTTCGAAGCGAAGGGGAGAAATTCTCGTGCTTGGAAACGAGGACGCGGAAGATTTTCAAATGGACACACGAGAGAGTATTTATAGATAAGTTAACTCGATTTAGGCGCGAATTTCGACGCCGAGTGTCGTTTCCCTTCCCGGATGACCACGCGTCGGATTAAAAAGTTGCTTATTTGCAAATGGAATTTTCGCGTCTGCTGATATTACATTTACCAGGAATATATTCCGTTGTGGAGTTATATTCGCGGGGCAAAAAGCCGGCTTTCACGGATCCGCTGAATTTCATTATTTAAGTTACGTGTACGGGTACAAGTGTTTGAATAATGCATTCGGCTCGATGTACATGAAAGCCGC